TCCATCATGACAATGCAAGGCCACACACATCTTTGGTCACTCGGCAAAAATTAATGGAGCTTGGTTGGGATGTTTTGCCACATCCGCCATATAGTCCTGACCTTGCACCATCTGATTACTTTTTGTTTTGATCTTTACAAAACTCCTTGAATGGTAAAAATTTCAATAATGATGATGATGTCAAATCGTACCTGATTCAGTTTTTTGCTAATAAAAACCAGAAGTTTTTTGAACGTGGGATTATGATGCTGCCTGAAAGATGGCAAAAGGTCATTGATCAAAATGGGCAATACATTACAGAATAAAGTTATTTAGTTCCATGAAAAAATTGTCTTTGATTTTTTAAAAATCCGCAATTACTTAGCTGCCGACCCAATATATAGTAGCTCAGTGATCTTAGGTGAGATGTGTAACCTTTTAAACCTCATTTTCCTCAGCTATAAAATGTGAATTATATTTACCTCACCAGATTGTTGTTAAGATGAAATGACATTATCTACAATCATTGATCATTAAAAATTATTTCTCTTTATATTATTTTTTCTAAAATTTCTACAATGAATACATATTATACTTCATTAAGAAGCAAAAAAAAAAAAGTCATTAAGAAAGTACCTTTTCCTCTAATTAAATAACATAAGACTGAACTCAAGCAATTAACCATTGAATAAGGCAGTTAAAAATGATCTTTAAATAAGTATGATTAAATAATGAAACTGAGTAAGGGACACCATACCAGCTTCTCCCCGGGAGGGCCTTTACTCAGAACAAAGTCCACCATCTATCTTGAATGATTTAGGCCATTCCAACTTCCTGTAGTGCCTCCCTGACCTTGAACAGGTTGCCAGACCTCTCACAAAGCCTCAATTTTCCTCACTTGAAAGGAATGATATATTACTTCCCTGGGAGTTGTGAGGATTTAACGATAAAATGTGTAAAGTAAACACACTGATAGCAAAAGAAAGCACTTAATATTAGCTAAAACCTATCATTATCATCATCATCATCATCATTCTTTGGCTGAATGAGACATCTTGAGCTCCTACTCCAGCAATGAAAATACATTCATTTTTCCAAACCACAGTTCAATAGTGTTTTCATTCTTTTCTTTTCTTTTTCTTTTTTAATATATTTTAACGATTTTTAACAGAGAGAAAGGGAGAGAGATAGAGAGCTAGAAACGTCGATGAGAGAGAAACATCGACCAGCTGCCTTTTGCACACCCCCTACCGGGGATGTGCCTGCAACCAAGGTACATGCCCTTGACCGGAATCGAACCTGGGACCTTTCAGTCTGCAGATCGACGCTCTACCACTGAGCCAAACCGGCTTCAGCTATTTTCATTATTTTCCAATCAATTATATCTTCAAAGAGCTACTTCATTATAAAACTGTCAAGGCCATAAAGCTAAAAAGAGGCAAGTTTGTCTCCACTGTAAGTAGTTTAGATTCACGAAAGTAAATTATATCACATTTGGATTCTTTTATTTTCTAATTTTCTTTTTTATTTTCTTTATTGATTAAGGTATTACATATGTGTCCTTATCCCTCATTGCCCCTCACTCTCCCCGCCCTCCCTCCCCCCTGATGTCTGTATCCATTGGTTATGCTTGTATGCATGCATACAAGTCCTTTGGTTGATCTCTCCTCCTTACCCCACCCTCCCCTGCCTTCTCTTGGAGGTTTATAATGAACAACATAAACTGATGAACAAAAACAGATCCAGAGACAGAGAAGCATCGATCAGACCGTCACATCTGAATTCTTAATTAACTAGTAAGCCAATTCAGGTAGGGTTTCCTCTACATAGTTAATATCTTTGTGTGCATATACACTAGTATACACATGAGTAAGTCTTATGTTTAAATATATCAACTCCATCAACCACTACCAGCAATATGTAGGTCAAGGCTTTCCACCTGATAAAATTAGATCAGAATCAGATTTAGAAAAGCCTAAGGATCACCCTGTCTGATCCTTTCATTTTACGAATGGAATTAGGAAATGTAGTTAACTGGTGAACAAGGAAAACATTCAAATGCTAATCTTCTTCAAGAATTAGTCCTAAAAGGAACACATACTAAACCTCAGTTTAAACTTTTAAAAATGACACCAATTTTTAGTTCAGTTAAAGGTGTTACTATTACTACCACATTTAAAGTATAAGTGGAAGCTTTCTTTCTCACTTTCAAGCTGAATCCACAGTTTTTAATTATTTCAAGGTATTTGTTTATTACAGAAAAGGGGGAGGAGAAAATCAGGGGCCAGGCTGACGGGCCAGTAAGCCAGGTCAAGAGGAACAGGGAAACTGAGACAGACAGCTGAACAAACTGGCAGAGCAATTTACAGCAGATACAGACGGTCACCTCCCTGGAAATAACATCTAGGACTCAGCTATATCTCAGCTCCAGATCCAGAGAAGCAGCAAAACCAGATGGATGACACTAGGACAAGCTGCAATGATAACGATGCCCTGCCCTGACACTGGCCCATCAGTGGAGACCACCACCCTGGAGGAGCACACCTAGAATGTTCTACTGAACCCCCCTCTCCTGGGGCCTCCCCTAAGATCCCCACCTGCACGAGAGACCAAGCCTCAAGACAGAGGACCCCAAGCGCTGTCTCCCTCTTTCCCCTTTCCCCTCTTCTCCCCTCTCTTCTCCCCCCACAGGCATGTACCCCCTAAACTCTGGGGAGCCCACAGACGTGCCACCTGGGGAGTGGTGGGCAGGGGCAGTTCTAGGCAGACTAGTCCCCTGAACCTGTCCCCAAAGCCCCCTTTTCGCCAACTTCCCGGAGAGCCGAGGCAGCCCAGACTAAGCTCTCCAGTTTCTTCTGCTATGTGAAGCCCTTTCTCTTGTTTTACTGTCCCCGGCGTTAGTGAATGTTCCCTCATAGTCACTTGGTCTTATATTGTGAAATTTTTCCTGCATGAAGTCAAGAATCCACATACTACCGGCTGGCCCTAGGCAGACCCACCAATGGCCAGTTCCCCTTCCCGTTAACAAGATACAAAGAGCTATTTGACATCTAACTCAAAGAATAGTAATTTGTGTTTTGTTTTTTTTTAATATATTTTATTGATTTTGTACAGAGAGGAAGGGAGAGAGATAGAAAGCTAGAAACATCAATGAGAGAGAGTCATTGATCAGCTGCCTCTTGCACACCCCCCTACTGGGGATATGCCCGCAACCAAGGTACATGCCCTTGACCGGAATCGAACCTGGGTCCCTTCAGTTCCCAAGCCGACGCTCTATCCATTGAGCCAAACCAGTCTCGGCAAGTAATTGGTGTTTAAAAAAAAAAAAAAAAAAAAGAATCAAAGAGTGTACATGCACAGTATTATACGAATACGAGAATACTTTTCTTCTTCATATAAACATTTTTAAAGAAAACATAAATGGCCCAGTCAGTGTGGCTCAATGGTTGAGCATCAACCTATGAACCAGGAAGTTACGGTTTGATTGCTGGTGAGGACACATGCCCGGGGGATCCCCAGTGTAGGGCATGCAGCAGGCAGCCAATCAATGATTCTCTTTCATTATTGATGTTTCTATCTCTCTCTCTCTCTCTCACTCCCTTCCTCTCTGAAATCAACAAAAATATATATTTTTAAAAACACATAAATGGCCAATGAACCTATGAAAATATGCTCAACTTCACTCATTAAAATAAATAAAAATTAAAGCAACGAAATTACCATCAAATTTGCAAGAATTTAAGTCATTATGGTTGAAAAAAGATTTGTCCTTGGAATGTTGCCTTTAATGATTCTCTAATTTAAACACTGACAATCATTCCTAGTCACAGCACATAAGCGTTCATACATGAGTATGTGTCTACATTTATATAAAAACTTTAAAAATAAGAGGGAAATAGATATATTTTTACATTCATCAACGTGTAACTTCTAGAAAGAGGAATTTGACTAATAAGTGCACATATCCTTTGATCCAGCAATTCAACTTACAGCTGACTCCCACGTAGGAGAAATATCATAGGAACTAGGATACTCACTGCAGCTCTGCTTGTAGAAGTAAAAAAACAGTAACAATCTGAATGTCCATTAATTGATTGGCTATAAGTATGGTAAATGCATAAAATGGTAGACTCATAAAATTATGGTAGACCATGCAGCCACTAAATAATGAAAACTATATAAATATTAATATGGAAAGATCTTTAAATAATAAATCAACATGTTATGTAAAGCACCATTAGTTTTTAAATTTATATGTAAACAGCAACATACTCATGTATGAGCATATATGCTATTCACTCTATTTCCTTTTATATGTATTTCAATTTCATTCTATTTACACGTATTATTTTTTTTAATATATATTTTATTGATTTTTCACAGAGAGGAAGAGAGAGGGATAGAGAGCTAGAAACATCGATGAGAAACATCGACCAGTTGCCTCCTGCACACCCCCCACCGGAGATGTGCCCGCAACCAATGTACATGCCCCTGACCGGAATCGAACCCGGGACCCTTCAGTCCACAGACCGACGTTCCATCCACCGAGCCAAACCAGTTTCAGCACACCTATTATTTTTTTTTTGATTTTTTGCATTTTTGTTTATTGATTGGAGAGAGAAACCGATTTTGTTTCACTTATTTATGCATCCATTGGTTGACTATTGTAGGTGCCCTGACCATGGATTAAACCTGCAACCTTGGCTCGTTGGGATGATGCTTTAACCAACTGAGCTACCGGGCCAGGGCTAAAACAAAACTCTTAAAATGTTTATTTTAAATTTAGATATCTCACTTATTGTGTACTCCAAATGAGGTAACTTCAAATTTTCCTTCACTGACAATTTTTAAATTTAAGAATCGTAACATCAGCTATTCCAAGGAAAAGCCTCTCTTCACGCCTAGTGACAGCATCATCAACATCGGTTCCAGCACAATTAAGACCCTAAAGCGCACCTCCAAGCAGAAACGTGGCTTGCTCACACTGCAGTAGAATTAGAGTGGTGAGACTCAGGCCTTACCTGACCAGGTCGCCATGAAGCTGTAAATAAAGACTTTCCCTTCCCTCTCCGGCACATATTTCTGATGCTGGAGTCTCTACTGTGCAAAGGACAAGATGTAAGTCAGAGGAGGCGGCAGCGGCGGAGGAGGCAGCGGAGGTGGCGGTTGTAGTGGCAGTGGTCGTGTCTGCTCCATAAAGGTAAACACAGCCTCTCTTCACATCTTCTCTCAGCCAGTCTCTTTCTCGAGAACCAAACCTACTTCTCCTATTCAAACAATTTCTGCTCCCATTGCGTTTCATATTTCTCTAAAAAAAAAAAAAAAGAGAAAAAACATCAGCTAAAACGAGTTCAACATGTTTAGTCCTTATCCCACTTTCCAATCTATAGTCACCAATACTCTGGTCAACTGATTATCTCCTCTCAACTCACACAGCCTTTAGCATATGCCATGCTTATTCTTAACCTGGCAAACTTAGTGCTCGTTTAATATTTTTAGAGCTATTTTTATTTTTAGACAGGGGAAGGGAGAAAGGGAGGGTAAGAGGGAAAAGCACCAGTTGCCTCCCTCATTCGCCCCGACCAGAGATTGAACCCACAACCTGAGTATGTGTCCTCACTGGGAATCGAACCTGCCACCATTTGGTGTATGGGATGACACTCCAACCAAGAAGCCACACTGGCCAGGGCCAAGCTTAGCTTTCTTTATTGTTATAGCAGTTCATGTCTGTCCATCAACTTTTCCAACCCTTTCTTTTTTCTTCTGTTTTCAGAAAAATATCAAGAATAATAAAACATCCGTGTACCTACTACCCAATTTTCACAAATTTTAATATTTTGTCTTATTTAGTTCTGGTCATTACTCTAAAGAATCTGTAATAATAAAAGCATAATATGCTAACTAGACTGAACATATTTCCAGACAAAGCTGGGGCTGTAGCCCCGGGATTGAGGCAGCTGCAAGCTGCGGCTGCAAGGGAGAGATGCATGCAAGCCACCACAGCTACAAGGGAGAAACCCAGGGAGCCACCACAGCTGGGAAGGCCTATTCTTGCATGAATTTTGAGCATCAGGCCTGTGTTTATATTGAGCCAAACCAGCTAGGAGATGGAGATATATATATATATATATATATATATATATATATATATATATATATATATATATAGATAGATATATATCCTATATAATATTATATATTATTATATATCCTATATATTATTATATATCCTATATATAATATATCATATATATAATATTATATATTATTATATATATTATTATATATCCTATATAATAAAAGCCTAATATGCAAATTGACCAAAAGGCAGAATGACGGTTGCCATGATGCGAAATGACCACCAGGGCGCAGATGATCAATGCAGGAGCTGCCCCCTAGTGGTCAGTGCACTCCCACAGGGGGAGCACCGCTCGGCCAGAAGCCAGGCTCACGGCTGGTGAGTACAGCAGCAGTGGCAGGAGTCTCTCCTGCCTCCATGGCAATGGCAGTGCTAAGGAGCAGTGAGCCAAATAGTAAGGAGCTGCGAGCAGGTGGGCAGTAAGGAGCGAGGGATCCCGGACTGCGAGAGAGAACAGGCTGGGCTGAGGGGACACCCCCCCCCCTGCAGTGCACAAATTTCATGCACCAGGCCTCTAGTGTTTGTGTGTGTGTGCGCGTGTGTGTGTTTACAATAAGAGTAGGATGCAAATTGACCATACCTTCACAACGCCCACCAGCCAGTCACAAGTGAGTATGCAAATTAACCCAACAAAGATGGTGGGTTAATGTGCATACACAGGTGCGGGGCGAGACACTTGCATCATTGCCATGGCAACAATGCAGGTATTCCACACCATCCCAGCCACTCCGGGGCTCTGGGCACTATGGGAAGGCAGAAAGGCAGCTCCAGGCCAGAGCAAAGGCAGTGCCAGCAGCCAGGATAAAGATGGCTCGTTCTTCTCATTCTTGCACAAATCTTCGTGCATCGGGTCTCTAGTATATATGTGTGTGTGTGTGTGTGTGTGTGTGTGTGTGTGTGTGTGTATATGTACATATATATATACTATATATTCTTTTTTTTTTAATCCTCTTTAATGCAATACCATAAACCTTGAATAACACCATGGGACCCATATGAAGTGCCACTAGTGATGCTGAAAGTGTTATATATTCTTATATATACTGCTAAAGCCACCTGGTACCCTATCCCAATCCCATGCCCCTCTCTCTCTCCCAGAAACACTCTACTACTGTATTTGGTATTTATCATTATATTCATTTTCTTTTTTAAATATGTTTATTGATTTCAGAGTGGAAAAAAGAGGGAGAAAGAGACAGAAACATCCATGATGAGAATCATGGTTGATCAGCTGCTTCCTGCAAGTCCCCCCCTGGGGAATGAGCCCACAGCCTAGGTATGTCCCCTTGACCGGAATCAAACCTGGGAGCTTTCAGTTAGCAGGCCAATGCTCTATCCACTGAGCCAAACCAGCTCGGGCTCATTGTGTTCATTTTCACAGATGTTTGCCATATATGTATATCCTATATAAACTATATGTAGTTCGTTTTACATAATTTAAAACTTTAAATCCTAGCTTATGTTTTGCCCAGTAATACTTTTATTAGGTTCAATGTTGGTTTACATATATCCACGCTAGTACACCTAGCTCTTTCATTTGATAAGATATCATTTTTTAATACACTGCAATTTATTCATTCTCTTGCTGAAGGCATTTAGTTTGTTTCTAATTTTTCCCTGTTGGAAACAATGCTGCAATAAACATTTTTGCAAACTGCAAGTTTCTCTAGGGTCCTAACCCTCCGTGTTATATCCCAAATAATCAAGTGCAGAATCAACAAATATTCTCACAAATATTGTTTCCTTTCTCATGTTACAAAAAAAAATACTGTTGCATTAATGCAGGCATGTGAAATTCATACACATTGTGGAGCCACTGTTATCCGGAGGCAAAAACAATTGCTACCGCTATGTAACAGGATTGTACAGATCAACATTTACCTGCTCTATTTTTACGATAAGCCCTTTCTGTTCCCTTTAAAAGAAATGTCCACTGACTACACTGACATACCTCTCCGGTGTCATGCCTTTCACTGTTTCAGGAATATCCAACAACCTGTAACTCCCCATACACACCAACTAATCCACAATTCTATGACTTGTCTGAAATGTTTGCTTCAGCTTGTCCACCTGACTAGCCTTTCATTTAAAATTCTATGCAAATGCCACCGTCTCTACACTCTTTTGAAACCTTCCATGTCTCCCATCTCCATTTTCCTCCTTCCAAGTAGAATTAATTTCCTACCGTGTTTCCCCGAAAATAAAATATCCTCCGAAAATAAGACCTACTTACAGGTTTCCTTCTGAGTGAAATTAAGCATCCCCCTGATAATAAAGCCCCCCTTGGCTCTGTCTCAGAATGAAAATTAATTTACCTTAAACTGGTAGCTAGGGCCACACAAGCAGTTATAAGGAAGTGGGTCGAATTAATGCTGCCACTTGTTATGCGAAGGAGCCAAAGAGGTCTACTAGTCTGGAAGAAATGCAGCCAGCACTCACCGCGCTAAAGACTTAAGACATTTCTTCACGAAAGAAAAATAGAGCAGATAATGATTCCCGCAGGAATGACGGCCTATCTCCAGACTCTTGATATTGCAATAAACAAGCCATTCAAAGACAATTTGCGCATGAAAATTAATGACTACATTGAAAACAAAATGGAGAGAAATCAGCGTGGAAACTTTGTGAAACCTAAACTGCAAGAAGTTGTGACTTGGGTGAAGAATTCATGGGAGAAAATCACTGACAGTTGCATTGCAAATGCATTGCGAACAGGCTACCTTGACAAGAAGTACTCATTTAAAGACAGTGCTATTGCTAAACAGGAGAGATTTGGTCCACTGATTCTGAAAGAAATGGAGTCACAAGAAATTCACCAAGAAATTCAGGAATTGGATTGTTATGATGATGTTCCAGAAGATGACATGTTTGTCATTGAATAAATGAGTAAATTCTTGATACTGTAGGATTCACAGTTTGTCTGGTTTGTGTTGACAACTACCGTACTACCGTACCGTATACAGGTAATAAATTTCCTTTATTTTCATTTAACAACAAATGTGTACCGTATTCTTCTTCATGGAAAAATAAGACTTCCCCTGAAAATAAGACCTAGCGCATCTTTGGGAGCAAAAATTAATATAAGACACTGTCTTATTTTCGAGGAAACAGGGTAGTAGAAGGAATTAATGACTACTCTCTACTTAGCAGAATTTCACCTGAAGCATACTTCCATTTCTATGCAGATTTCAATGGGTTTTAAGGATTTATTTGATATTTCTTCTTTTCTTCTACACTGATAATCTATTATTAGTGCCTTCACACCTGAGTGGCACAGAAATGCATGCAAAACTCGGCTGACATCACAGAAATGACATCCCAGTTTGCACATTAGCCCAATCAGCTCTGGCATGAAGTTAAACAAATATGGAAGGCAACAAATCCATATTTATAGAGAAACTTATAATCTTTTCTTTGTATCAGCCAAAAAGTAAATAAAATACTTTCACTACTATTCCTCACTGGAAAATAGCAATACCTATAAATAAAGCAACTTTTGTTTTTTTTAAGACAGAGGAAGGGAGAGGAGAGGTGAGAAAAACATCAGTGGGTTGCCTCCCGCCTCCCATGAACACATGGACTGGGGATGGAACCCGAAACCTAGGTATGTGCACTGACTGGGAATCAAATGCACTACCTTTTTTTTTTTTTTTTTTTTTTTAATATATTTTATTGATTTTTTTTTACAGAGAGGATGGGAGAGAGATAGAAACATCGATGAGAGAGAAACATCGACCAGCTGCCTCTTGCACACCCCCTACCGGGGATGTGCCCGCAACCAACATACATGCCCCTAACCGGAATCGAACCTGGGACCTTTCAGTCCGCAGACCGACACTCTACCACTGAGCCAAACCGGTTTTGGCCAAATGCACCACCTTTTGGTGTACAGGATGACACTCCAACCAACTGAGCCACACTGGCCAGGACAAAACAAATACTATTTTTGTAATTACTGAGATTAATATTTTAAGGGAACTGTAGCACCTAAAATTCAATTTCTAAAGACAGTGGGTAAAGAGGAATGAAAAGTTAGAAGGTATTCCCAAGTGGGAAGAAGATAAAACAAGATTGAGAATGGCTTCATTGTTTACGTTTAGGAAAACAGAGGTAAATTGGTTATTTTGCAGATCTTAGGGATTTGAGTACGTATAGCTATTCAAAACCTGAAGATTATTACTAATTCTAGCTTTAGATAAGCAGGATAAACTTCTGCAACAAGTGGGAACTAGGTCTCTCTTCTCATCAAGAGCATTTTCGTAAAGCAGAATATCTCAGAATTAATATCTTAAGTATTTATTTTATAGACACAGGAGCCATCATATTTGTACCACTAAATAATGCTAACCATTGAATAATTCACAGGTTAATTCGAAATATTCTTTATTTTTTAATCTTTGGGAAAGATCAACTGGTCCATCTGAAAACAGTATTCTATATGGTATATTCATACAAAGAAGTTCTGCACTCAGGGGAGAGAAATTTTGCTCACTGCTATTAAAAGGGGGCAAGTAGACACTATTCCACACAAGCATCAAAAAGCTTTTTTTTTAAAAATAAAAATGTTTTTAAGCCCAATAATAGTCCACCAACCTTCTGTCTAAAGAAAGTCAAGAAAGACCCCAGGAAATATTCTATTAGTTCACCCAAGATTTTTCTTCTGTGAGGATCTTCAATGTGTATATATATTTCCTTTAAGACTATAAATTCCTTAAGGAACTTTACATTTTTTAAGAGGATTTTTAAAAAAATTGATTTCAGAGAAGAAGGGAGAAATAGAAACATCAATGACAGAGAATAACTGATCAGGTGCCACCTGCACGCCCCCACTAGGGATCAAGCCTGCAACCTGGGCATGTGCCCTTAACTGGAATCGAACCTGGGACCCTTCAGTCCACAGGTGGACGCTCTATCCACTTGAGCCAAACCAGCTAGGATTTTAAGAGGATATTTTAAATTAATTCCTTAACATCATTCTTTTATTTTATTTTGTTTTTTATTTCAGGGAGGAATAGAGAGGGAGAGATAGAAACATCAATGATAGAAAAACATCATCGACAGCTGCCTCCTGTACATCCCCAACCAGGGATTGAGCACAAAACTTTGCCAGGGCATATGCCCTGACTGGAAATTGAACTGGTGAACTCTTGGTTTCTAGGTTGATGCTCAACCATTGAGCTACACCAGCCCAGCAGGAACTTTACATTATTGAAATGTATGTGTTATTGATCAAAGAATGTATCTCCTTAGACCTAGAGCACATGTGTCAAACACAAGGCCCGCGGGCCAAATCCATCTCGCCAGGCCTTGCAATGTGGCCCGCACCGCGCTGTCATCACTGCACTCCGCTGCGTTTCCATCACAATGACAGTTTATGACTGTTCAGTAAACCATTCGGCCCACGATTTAGGCTGGATTTTAGATTTTGGCCCCTTCTCTGATTGAGTTCGACACCCCTAACCTAGAGACTAAGAAAGCACAGGCCTTCTAGCAACAATCTAGATCAGTGATGGGGAACATCCAGCCCACGGGCCATATAAGGCCCAAGGAATCATTTGGTCTGGCCCTGCCAAGGCATTAAGGTGAGTTAATTAAATGTTTAATTTTTTTTTTTTATTGTTTGAAGGATTACAAATAGTACATATGTCTCCTTCCCCCGCCCCTTAATCTTCCCCCAATCTCCCTTACTCCCCTCATATGCCTTCACCTCCCCCCCATGTCTTGTATCCATTGGTTATGTATATATGCATACATATAAGTCCTTTGGTTGAAAAAAAAATGTTTAATATAGCAGGCTAATTTTTTAAGTTTACATTTTTAAAAAGATATATTTTATTGATTTTTTTTTTACAGAGATGAAGGGAGAGGAATAAAGTTAGAAACACTGATGAGAAAGAAACATCAATCAGCTGCCTCCTGCACACCCCCTATTGGGGATGTGCCTGCAACCAAGGTACATACCCTTGACCAGAATCGAACCTGGTACCCTTCAGTCTGCAGGCCAACGTTCTATGCACCGAGACAAACTAATTAGGGCTAAGTTGACAATTTTGTATGAACTATGAATGATGTTATAAACATCCAAATGACCTTTCGCAGAAAAAAAAAAGGTTCCACACCCATGGCCTAAAAGAGCATCAGGTAACTGCTGGAAAGGCCAGTACCGTCCTCAGAGATGCTTTCAGCTTTTACAATCACTACTCCACCGGAATTGCTAGACTAAGAGCATCTTATTTCCTCCCGCCCTTACTCTTATATAAGAACTGTGGATCAACTTATCTATAAGAGAACACAACCACTAGTATAACCCAATTCTTGCATCAAACAAATGTATAAAAAGCACATTTAAGATTTAAAGATATTGCTAGAAAGCAAAGTCTTTAGAGTAAGCTATGAATTAAGTACTCACTTCAGTACTTAATTCAAAACACTATTATTCAAAACAATAATCTCATCACATTCACTGACTAGATGAATTATTACTTCATATCTTCTACAGAGTTAAAAAAAAAAACTGGAGGAAACATCTAGAAAAATGTATGCTTCAAAGGTACTCCCAATAACCTTAAGAGTATTAAAAATACAAATTACAGCGGGGAGGGGAGGGAGATCTGAGGGAGATAAGAGATCAACCGAAGGACTTGTATACATGCATATAAGTACAACCAATGGACACAAAACTCTGGGGAAGGAGGGTATGTATGGGGGGGGGGGGGCAATGTTAAAATATGTACACAGATAATAATTTAATTTAAAAAAAAAAGAGTATTAAAAATATTATGCGAGGTTGTGGGTTCAATCCCCAGTTAGGACACATACAAAATTCTACCAATGAATACCTACATAAATAAGTGAAATAACAAATCAATGTTTCTCTCTCTCCCCTCTAAAAAAAAAATCAGTAAAATTCAAAATAATAACATCACTCTACTATATTCCAACTACAACTATAAAGCAGTACGTCTTTAGCACCTTTTGAATCAAATTTTCCAAAACTCGATACAAATGGACCTAGATCTAATCTGGCTAAACTACACTAGCTTGGTTATATTTGACTTTTTATGAAGACCTGTATTTTCTGACAATCATGTCCAGAATTTGGTATTAAGTATAAAATCGTTAAAAAAAAAAGTGTCTTTTCCAAAGGGTCTTCAGAGAATAACACGTTGGAGAGTATGACTTTCCTCCCAATTCAGAAAGTCTTCTAGTTAGGTATTCTTTTTTTTTTTTCTTTTTTTTAATATATTTTATTGATTTTGTAGAGAGGGAGAGAGATAGTTAGAAACATCGATGAGAGAGAGCATCGATCAGCTGCCTCATGCACACCCTCCACTGGGGATATGCCTGCAACCAAGGTACATGCCCTTGACCGGAATCGAACCCGGGACCCTTCAGTCCCCAAGCCGATGCTCTATCCATTGAGCCAAACCGGTTTCGGCTAGTTAGGTATTCTTTTCCAGTTTCACTTGGCACAGACTTCAACCACTCAGCTATTTAAGGGAACTTCTGTATGTAGAATGCATGGCTCCTATGTTCCATAGTCGATCCCATTTATTTGCAAGGATTATATAAAGCATTAACCATATGCAATAAAACCAAGAGATTCAAGTGCCTTAGACAGTCAGCCTGCCACCCCACCAGCTGAGCTCTGTAATCAAGATTAATTTCTGGAATCTTTCTAATGGTCCCCAGAATGGAACTCCAGCGAGCCAGAGGTGGGTTGAACCACTTCCCGGCAGTGTAGGAAGACAGGACCCTGCAATAAAGATGGCCTTTTCTCAATTCCTTCCCTCTCATAACTCTCCCCCACACACACACACACATACACAAAGAAAAAATATATATTTTTAAAAAGCTCAAGTTGTTTACCTTCTAGACCAGAGAGCATTACCTATCTCTCAGGCTTGCCATTTCCTGATAAATTCAGCTGGTTGAATTTTGTTGTTGTTCATTCACAGTTTACATTTTCGTGACCTTATGGTTTTAAATAAATAGCCAAAAGCATTTGGGTAATTATATTTGTAGCTTAGGGTTAAGTTACAGCAAATATGTACAAGGTTTATGCACAAATGGAGATACATTATGAAAAAGTTACTTTTTAAGTCACTGGATTAAGACTGGAAGGTAGTAGCAAAAGCACTTCAGTATTTTACGTGGCTGCATGGATTCACCAGGTGCTTCAAATCAATGATTTTTTTTTTCCGGGTTCCCACCTTTGTGACGTCCTGCTAATAATCTTAATGACAAGTATACTGTGTTCATCCTCACTCCCAATGAACAACTATTAATGGATTTTTTTTTAACATCATGGACTTTCATTGTTTTGCAAAGTATTTTTGATTCTGAAACCCATCTAATCTAATTTCTTTTTAAATCTCTCTTCCTTCTCCCTGCAAAGTTTTAAATCCTGCTGACTCCTCTTCTGCAACTCCAGAAGGAATTCCCTTCCATCTCCAGGAAACACCTAGCTTACATATTTGACCTACTGGGGGGGGGGGGGGGGGGGGGGAGAGAAGAATTCTTTCCAAGTGTTCTGAGGGCTAGTAGAAAACTCAGTCTCCCACAACCACTCCTCTTCACCATCTTCACTGCTGCCTCCCCATCCTGCATTCCTGGTGCATCTGAACTTCTTGTCATCACCGTCCAGGCTCCACTCCCTTCCTCCCCGCCCCCCCCCCCCACACACACACACACACCCCACTTGCTTGCATCTGCCTTCTCCCATTTCCTCCTACTCCCCCAATTCCTGCCAGAAGCCCCGCTAGCTAGCTGCCTGTTGCATAACGGCTTCTCCATTAGCATCTCCCCGGATGGCCCGGCCGGCTCCGCAAGCAGGAATGCCCCTTTCCGCCCGGCCCCTCCTCCCTTCTGCAACACGCCCAGCGGCTCCCGGAGCCGGGGCTCCTCCGGGGATTCTCTCCCGGCGGCGGGACGAGCTGCCAGGCGGGCGCCCGGCGGCGGAGCGGGTGTAGCGGGTGTAGCGGGTCTCCACTTCGGTGGGGAAAGCCCGGGGGGGGGGGGGGGGCAGAGCCGGGCGGCCCGCTCCCCACGCCGCCCCCGCCGGCGCCCCCCGCAGCGCCGGGCCGATCCCCGCCGCCCTCCTCCCGCCCGGGCGATGCCTTCAGGTGTCCGCGAACAGCCAGCCCTGCGCACTTGCAGCCGGGCTCTCGGCCGGGAGCCCCCGGAGCGGCGCCCGGCCCCCGGCCGCGGAGGCAGCGGCGGGCCCCGGGTCCCGGAGGAGCCGGCTGGCGGCGGCGGCCGGGAGGACGCTGGACCCGCGGCGTGGGCCTGCGAAGGGGGTGGCTCGCGGCCAGGGATGGGCAGCGGAGGGGACGCCGGCGGCCGAGGCCTCGGCGGGGCCAGGCGCGAAGGCCCGGGCGGGGAGCCGCAGCCCTTTTCCCCCCGCTTCCCCCCCAGCGGGACTGCGGGGCGGCCGAGCAGCCCCGCGGAGACTGACGGACTGACTGACGCGGGGCGGGGGGGTCGCCGGCCGCCTCAGCCAACGCGCTAGGCAGGCGCGGCCGCTCCCCGCCTGCGCCCCTTCTGCAACCCGCTTGTCCGCCCGCCTGCCTCACCTTCAGGACCCGGATCCCGCCCGGCCGGCGGCTCGCGGGCGCTTCGGGCGGCTCCGGGGGCTCGAGCGGGCCCGCGGGCCCCGGCTCCACCTCCCCCATTAGCGGCGGAGGCTGCACAGGGACGCCCGGCCGGCGCGACGGCGCGCGGAGCCTCGGCGGCGCGCGCGAGCGGCCCGCGGCCCCGCCCCCCGCGCCCAAGGCCACGCCCCGCAGTCACGCCCCCCGCGCCCGAGGCCACGCCCTCCCGCAGCCCTTCGGACCTGCGTAGCTGCGGGCGAGGTGCGTCTGGGGCGCCCTGAGCCGCATGCTGGCGGGTGGGAAGTGTGGGCACAGCGGCAGGTCTGGGCCTCCTCCCCACGGTCGGCTGCCTCGGCGGACCGAGGCTCCGGGAGGGTGGTTTACTGCAGTCCCCGCCCCCCAAGTGCCGGCTGGACAAAGGGCAGGTGTCCACGGTGACAGGACGCTGCTCCCCCCCACACACACAGAGGGTGGCTCTTGTCACTTGTCTCCTCCCTCTCCGATGGAACGAGTTGTTGGGAATGCTCCCCTTAGCGAGGGAGGACCTTGCTGTTCCTTATTGGAGATGCTCACGACAGTCAGCAAATTCGACCCAACCCTGTGTACAAGATGTTAATTTCTCCTCCCAGCCACGTTTTTAATTCCCCTTCTCCTTAAGTAGTAACGTCAGAATTCGGTTCCCTGTCTCAAGCTGTGATGTATCGGTGACCCATTTAATTGTTTGCAAAGGTGATTGAGAAAATCTTTTTAAAAGTTTTCCTTCTAGTTCCCGCATTGGCGGTAGCTTTGTGGCCGGCCACTGGGCCAAATTCGGAATCGTAAAGCTTGATTCCAAGTCTCAGCTCTACCTCGCATATACCCTCGTGCAAGTTACTTGATCTCAGATTTTCATTACGAAGCAGTGAAACAGAAATTAATATCTGCCTAGCAGTTATTTTGAAGATTTTGTGAGTGATGCGGCGTGCTTATTAGCACATAGTAAGGATTCATAGTAGCCATTATAAATGTGAATTTCCAAATTTAAGATTCACTCAGTTCCTCGGAGTATTCTTGTTAATTCTGTTCCAAATTTTCCTAGGAAACATAGACTTCTGGATTTTTAGGTATTCCCCTTACAAAGGTATTGATGATTCTTCAAACCACTTGCAAAAAATAATTTCTCAAGCTTTGAATAATTGGTTAAGATTAATCATCTATTATCCTTGCTGCAGCTTGCCTAGTCCAGACCAACTATGTTTTAATTGCAGTCTTGTGGCCTACAATAGTACTATGATAGGTATGCATTTGGAGATACTTTAAATTCCAGGCAAAATTTGACTCTTGCAAAGATCCTGACCCTGTACAAACTGTTTCTTCTGTAAATTTGGTCACTACATGAGTTACCTTGTATATACAAAAATTCAATCTCCAGTCATCTTCATTTCTTTGTCTCATTCTAATGAAAAATTATTTGTCTCTGTGTCTAGGTGTAAGGTGAATAAAGTTCCTATTTCAATGCTTACTGGGTAACTTCTAGCAAGAACACTAGTTTGTAAAAATAGGTACCAATATAAAGACAAAAATGGACCTGACCAAGGATAAGCAAGCAGTAGAAAGAATAAAAACATGGCTCGGGATTAGTGTGTAAAAGCCTGTTTCTTGGTGTATTACCTTTTCCTGAGGCTCTTTATTGACTGACCACCTGAAGGGGAAGGCAGTCCCAAGGACCAGCATTTGCGTTCAGGCTGGGCAAGATCAGTGGTAGATGGCTGTTGTTGTTTTTTTTTTAATTAATGGAATAGTGGGCTAAAGCATCAATTCAAAATATAAGCATATGCCAAAGTTATATAGTTAGTACCTCTGTCAAGAGGGGGGGAAATTTAAAGCTACCTGCCCAGATACTGCATGGGGATCATTTATGATGCAGCTCCCATTAAAGGTCTCCATGATTTAAGATCCAGTTCAGTAAGTAGTGACAACCAGTTGATTCTGCTTTCAAATCATATACTGCCATTAATGTTTTATACTGTCTCAAAGGTCACGTCTACATGTTCTCCCCAGTTCAAGGCAGTGTGCATTATGTATGCCAAGGGTTATGTACGTAATTACAATTTCCGGAAATGGTCAACAGCGAAGACTAACCCTAAGAATAAATTCCTCTGGGATTTTTTGGTGCAAAAACCCATCTGCCCTCACTGTAGGTTCATTGTTACAAAAATCACTGCAGGTTTGGATCAAAGCAAGGGGCAGAAGTCATTACATTTTTTCCCTCTCCATATCCTATCCTTCCTATAAGCAGCTGTGCACACCTCTCCCCCCACCTGGGGCACACCCACATGCTTTAATATCAGGGGCTTTTCCTAATGCTCACTACAAAATGGAGAAGGGGAAAGTTCATATCAGATTTTCATAGAACCATAAGCTAACTACATGGGCTTAATAATAGGCTGTCCCCACTCTCTCAATAATTACAAAGTCATCCTAAGGCTTAAAACCCTTGTTATTCTATCACAGGTTGAGCAGATTTAGATCTTTTTCTTTTTTTAGAGAGATAGAGAAACATCAATTTGTTGTTCCACTTATTTACGCATTCATTGGTTGATTCTTATATATGCCCTGACGGGGGGGTCAAACCTACAACCATGGCATTATTAAGACACCGATCGAAGCAGCCGAGCAACCTGGCCAGAACTAGATATTCCTTATTTTAGTTCCAAATATACAGACAGACAGTATTTACCTGGCTTCAAGGTTTGAAGAAATTTCTTCCTGGAGCATTTTTATACCTTTGGAAGATGGGAAAATTGAACTAGGGGAGAAAATAGCATGGGAAACCCTTAAAAGCGGTAAAACTTAATGTGGTCTTTCTAGACTGAAGTTCAAACTGGAATACAAGTCATTACATATTTGTCTTGTTTTTTTCTTTTTCAACTCATATTTTTAAAGTAAATATCTGGAATCTATTACTTGCTAAACTTTTCTACTGTAGCTTTTATATTTTCATTTAATTACATGAAGATGAAGGTGTTAACAAAATTTAATATTAGGAACAAAGATGTTGAGTCACGTATAAGTAAAGATGATAGAAATGTCACTTATCAAACAGTGCCAAAGGGCACTTCTGCATAAACTAGATAATTGGCAAAGACTACATCTTTCTCCTTCTCAATCAGGGGACTGTTAGGAATCATCTGAGTAACAGAAAAGCTAAAGCTTTGAACTTCCAACCACTCTCACTGCTATGTAAGAGTGTGTATAAAATAGATCAGGAAGTGTAATTCATTTTGGCTAGTTAAGCCTTCCTCTTCCCAGTCACAGGTGTCCTTGAACATTTCACAAATTGTACCCAAAGCACTATGACCACCCCCCATATACATTTCACCTATATATGATTTCTTTGTGTGAGAATTCTCTTTTGTATAGAAGATAAGCATGGACATAATCATCTAGCTAAAATTCCCAATTACACTTTTCACTGTCTACAACTAGAAGTAGGTTTGTGTGTTTTTTTAAGTTGTTCAAATTCCTCTCTTGGTGAGATTTATGTACAAAAGGAACATCAATTGGTCAATAAGTTCAGCTCAAAGTTCTGGAATAGCAATTCATCCCAAGCTTCTCTAATCTACTTGTAAGAATCGAGAAAGCAAAATTTAAATCATTGAGTATTGACTTTTTATTATTAGTCACTGTTCATAATTTGTTTCAACCAAAAGACAATACACACAGCAGAATTCTAATGCATCCCATGTAAATGTTTACATCCATTTTATTTCTCACTCGCCTCTAAGGCTTATCATTTAATTTTAAATTTTTTTTACATCTCAAAAATATGTCTGCAATAATTAGAACTTCATTAGCTGTCCCACTTGGAAACAGCCTTTAATATTTTTACAGTAAAGAAGATGTGATGGGGCTTAATGAAAATGTAACTTACAATATTTTGAAAGAAAAGGGACTTTACAGGGACACAGTGGGAGTTCCCAGAGGAAAGAGTTCAGAAGCTCTTTCCCATGAGGCCCCCCCAGTAGAAAACAAAAACAAAACACACAAAGGGCAACAGCAGGTTCCAAACACAAAAACAAATAAACTCCAATGCTCCATCCCAAAGCCAGAATCGGCCTCGTGGACGTTCATGAAGCAACTGTACAAGCTGCTTCAGCATTTTCTTCTGTTTAAATGTTCCCGGTCCAAGAACCCCATAGGTGGGACCCACTCACTGCTATTGCTTGAGAAAGTTATTCGCTTCCAGTTCTACAAGCAGCCCCACCCTCCTGAGCCAAAGCTGGTCAGAGTGTTCTAATCTTCAACACATTCTGAGCAGTCTTCTCTTCAGTGATCCTTCCCACTCCCAAACGCATGAGAACATGTACCACCTCTCCGCCAACCAGTTTTTGAATATCCGCTTTTTACTCTCCGGCTTTCCATTTAGGACAATGTGGATAAAATACATTCACTAGAAAAAAATATATACACATTCAATCTCTTTCCTTTAGTTCTCATGGCCCCGAAATTTTCCAATGCAGAAGGTAATGATGTTGAATCTCAAAAACAGTATCCCCTAACTGCCAACTTCTTCTAGAACATAAAAATAGAAAGCATGTTATATAGATAGAAATACTCAAACCGTTAGTGCTGGACAGTTTTCAAAGTCCATTTTTTCATAGGAAGGGGACAAAACAAGAGGTACGGACATCTTTAACCTAGCAAGAGGAAAGAATCCCCTCCCAAGTGTTACACTGAGGAATGTTTCTTTAAATGAGAAATATCTTAAAATGAACAGATGATCACCATACACAGCATAAAACATTCCATGACTGTCCAAGTCACCTCAAGATAACAGCACCGGAGCATTATGGGAGAAGTTTCTCGGGTAGAGCACCCTCCCTACTGTTTTTTAAGATAACTTAGATGAATTCTCCCTTAGTATTACTGGGGAGGCGGGGGGAGGGGCAGGAAGGGGTAGGAGGGGCTAGGACACAAACTACTCCAGAAGAGGAAAAAAATGAGGTAAAAGTGCATGTGAAATTGTCCAAGTAAGTGTGTGTAGGCTCACTGCTAATCACCCTGAAGTTACTGAAACAGCCGCGGAAATCACTCTTTCCTCACAATGGCTCTAAAGTTGTAAATCTATCCACATTTGCTCCCCCCTTGAATGGTTATTATACTAGGGAAAGAAATTACTGAAATGTTTTAAGTTATTCATAGCAATTAAGAGATTCCTCCTTTTAGCAGCAAGGCCAAGTGAGGGAGAACTAGTTCCGATCCTAGAAACTAAGGCACGCTGAAGCTTTCAAAGATCCGATCATTTGAAACAGTCTTCACAACCATCAGTATCCTAGGCAAGTAATCTGACCTCTAGTCCTTCAGTCCCATGCTCGGTCGGGTTCTCTCTCTGAAATCACTTCATATTCTACACAGCACCCTTTGTGTTAAGGCCATGATTTCTATTCCTCCTAGACAAAGCTATGGGTGATCAGACAATGCTCTACCTTAAAACTATGATCACCCAAGGAGATGCTGTTAAAAGAGCAGACCCTTTCCAGCTCCTTAGCTAGCACTGCCTTAGAGCTTGATCTTCAGCAGATTTCTCAAATTCAACTCAGTTCAACTAAAGAAGCTTGAGCTGGTTAACGATAAACATGAGAGAAAAGAAAGCCTCTACCACAAAGAGGAATGTTAGACAAATTCTAGTCGAGAAATCCACCAACACTGTGTTAATCCTATCATGTTTCACAGCATTAAGTGTCCATCCAATGCAATCAGTCTGCAAAGAAACCTCTAAAGGCGATTTTTCATTGCGCAGGCAGAGCAGTTGTGAAAAATACTAGTCCACACTTACTTTCACTGAAAACTACGCACAAGATAATGTCCTGTTCTTGACTCAGTCAACCGTTTACCCAGTGGAGTTAAATTTTAGCAAATCTTGCTCTTATATTTTAGTAAAACCTGGAAGTTTCCCCTTTGAAGCCTTTAGTTCATTTCCAGTTTGTCAAATGTAAGGATTAGCCTAGCATCTGATACAGAGCTAGATTTGACAAGACACTGTAGATTTGAAGTAAAGGCTTGGTGAAATGAAGGGGAAATGGATATTTATACCCAGGTTTAAGACTGAAGCCAAGGTAGTCATTATACTGTACTCAATACAGTAATGATTACCAACGTTTTAAGAGCAAGGTGAGCCTGACTCTTCCTTTCTTCTTTAATATATCAGACATGGCACCTGTGCACCTGAACGTACACAGTACATTCAACATGGGCCACAGGAGAATCACCCTACCTTATTCCAGCAACTGAGTGTTAAGGTGTGAAATCGCAAGGGTCCTTTCTAAAAAGCATTCAGAACTCCTCCTAGTTTTTAGAAAGCTCCAGATCTCCAGTCTTTGATGCAGATGTTCATGAGACTGGCCTCTCTCAAGAGACCAATTTCTCAGACTCAGGAAAGGATATCCCTGCCCTATGGTGTCCATTCCTCTGACACAGGGGACAAGGAAGCTACAAGGCTTCATTCCAACACCATGAAGTACAATATAGGAAAGATTTCTTTAACCGTGTGGTCTTTATTTCAGTGCCAGTGTTACAGATACAACACAAATGTTCCAGTTAGAAGAAGGAATTCAAACGGAATGCCAAGGTCCAAGCCAGGCTCAGGAAATAAAAAGGGACGTTTGGAGTAATGGAGGATGACTCCAGTATGCTCTAGGATGAGTCTGATACTCAACTCTTCCTATGAGCAAAGGTGCTTTTGTTAGAGAGTCTAATCTTTAAAAGTGGTAAACTCCTCTTTCCACCCATTTACCATAGTTCATCAGGCAAGTTATAGGCTTAAGAGAAACTGTAAAATTTGTGGTGGGAATAGGGGCATTAATAACTACTTATATAATCTCTTTTAGAAGCTGTCCACCTTGCACTTTAAGGGGAGTCAATTTTGAAAATCATGGAGAGTATTCATCACTACAGCTCAAGAAGGGAAAGGAAGGGGAGCTGGAAGAGCCTTGGAAGTTTCTATTACAAATAGAGCACCATATCCTTCATGCCAAATCTCAACAAAAGCTCTTTTTAACTGCATCTGTCCAGTGTTTACAAATAACCTTTCAAAGTCTGACCAGTTCTTGGTAACAAGCATACATACATGTGTGTGTCTGTGTGAATACAGCAAAGCACAGAAAAGGCTCCCAGGAGCCTATTGCCTTTCAAACATTGGGGGAACCAGTAGAAAAGGCAGGTCTCCCTAATGTTCATGGTTACGTTTCCATTCTGAATGCCAGATGTAAAAAGCGCCTGATGATGGTGACACAGCTAGTGAGGAATAAATACCCCACCTCGCCCAGTCCACAGAGAAACTCAGTATAAAGAAGGGGCAACTCTGCTGTAGAGACGGTGTGAGTGTTTTCTTGCCATGGATTCCAGTCCTCTCCTCCAGACCAGCTGCTTTTTCCTCAGGGGCCCAGGGAATGTTGATTCTGGCTGTTAATGTGGGAGGGGTAGAGAAGTGCAGAAAAAGGGAAGAGGAGGAAGAGTGCAAACTAGCCTCCAGAAGCAGCCGGCCTCAGCCGTGGAGGAGAGGAGATTAGTCTTTAACAATGCTTCAAGGTCAGCAATTACTTTAGGAAAATCCTCCTCAACAGTTCTCTTCAGCTCCTCGTGCCCATGGTACAGTTGGGGGGGACTTGCCAGCAATCACAACCTCCTTCCCAGAGTTCCTTTGATTGAGTGGGGTAAGAATAAGAATGGTGCCGGACCTTCATTGCCAGGACTGAGGGGGAAAGTTGTTCACTTCTGCTAGATCTTGCATTGCTGAGCCCTTGTGATTATATGTGAGCTTGATCCGCATTCGCAGCTGTTGCTGTGAGAAAAGAAAAATCACACATTATACAAGGAAATGAAATCTCTAGAATCTTTCCAGTCCACAAATACACTTTTAATCTTAAAGAAAACAAAATTATTTTAAAGCAAAGTTGTCTCTTAAAAATGGCACCCAGCTTGTGTGGTTCAGTTGGTTGAACATCATCTCATGCACCAGGAGGGTCACAGGTTCAATTCCCAGTCAGGGAATTGCAGGCTCGATCCCCAGTAGGGGACGTGCAGGAAGCAGCCAATAGATATTTCTTATCACTGATGTCTGTCTGTCTGCTTCGCTATCTCTCCCCCTCTCCTTTCCTCTCTCTCCAAAATCAATAAAAATATATTTTGAAAAATTAAAAGTGACATACAAACAGCAGCAGAAAAACCACCTAGTACTCTACTATCAGCCACAGAAGCAACCTCATGCAGTCAGGCATCTCCAGAACACATCGCTGGCTTTGATCCTAGAACTGCAGTAACAGGACAGAATCACGCGAGAGCATTTTCATGGTAACATTGGCTGAGTGCTTTTCAAAAAGATTTAACTCATATATAAGTTTCTAGAAAAATTATGTAAACATATACTCATTTTATGCTCTACATTCAGACATACTGTAAAACCTATAGTAAATGTGAACATAAACTTGTTTCATTCCCAAGGCATAAAGAAGGGGGAGAAAAAAATAAAAAGAGTTAACTTATGGGTAACAGCAGTAGTTTTAAGAAAACTATAAGTACTTTTCACTTCATGTGGCAGATTTCAAATAGTGCATTAAGAAAATTTTTATTCTATGAATCAGATTGTCAAAGGAATTTCTAATTGTGCTAGAGGTATATGCTCAAAATACAGTGAATAGCAGAGGAAAGACAAGTGTTACAAGAGGACGAAATCGTACTGGTGTTTATGAGGCACTACCAGAAATCTTTGAAAGGAAGAAATTCCCTGAATCATTTCTAAAAACGAAATCTAGTCAATTAATTAGTATTAAGTGGAGGCAATTTCTTTCTTTGAAAAAAATATAATAAAAGCATTGCTTAATTGTAATTTCAAAAGCTATTTTTCCATTTGGCTGCTTAATTAAAATGTCTCCACTTTTGTTATGCATCCTTAACAATTACATGAAATATGGATTTTTGGTTCCACAAATGCTCTTACCCCAGACTGCAACTATGTAAAAGTTAGAATGTCTAAGCTTCCACACTCCTGCAAAAACTAGACCTTTAAGCCTCTAAATAGAGAATTTTTTTAAAGCTGCATTTTATAAATCCACTAAATCATCTAATGTGTGTGGGCTCTGTTCATTATCTTTGAAAGAACAAGGTTAAACCAGACATTTTCACAGATTTCTTATGACTGTGAGTCAAAAAGCTCCAGAGAAACAAAGCAGAATTTTATTTCAATAAGTAAGTTTGCACCTTTCTCAGATATTGTCTTCAAATATGCTACTCACCTTCTGTGGGTTCAGAACTTTAATGACTTGTGTGATGGTCCCCGTATTAAATGCTGGGACAACGCTGCTGCTAGGAGACAGAAGCTGCAGCTGGAATGTCTGGGGAGAACAAAGGGCATCTTCAGAAAGAAAATACTCTTAATATGATGTCAGAGGAAGCAACAAATAAAAAAGTCAGCGCTATCTGGTTTGGTTCAGTGGATAGAGCAACGGCCTGCAGACTGAAGGGTCCTGGGTTGAATTCTGGTCAAGGGCACATGCCCAGGTTTTGGGCTCAATCCCCATGGAGGGTGTGCAGGAAGCAGCCGATCAATGATTCTCTCTGCCGAAACCAGTTTGGCTCAGTGGTAGAGCGTCGGTCTGCGGACTAAAAGGTCCCAGATTCGATTCCGGTCAAGGGCATGTACACTGGTTGCGGGCACATCCCTGGTAGGGGGTGTGCAAGAGGCAGATGGTCGATGTTTCTCTCTCATCGACGTTTCTAGCTCTCTCTCTCTCTCCCTTCCTCTCTGTAAAAAATCAATAAAATATATATATTTTTTAAATGATTCTCTCTCATCACTAATGCTTCTATCTCTCTCTCCCTCTCCCTTCCTCCCTGAAATCAATAAAAAATATATATATATTTTAAAGTCAGATATCCAGTTGATGGCTTAGGTAATAAATTTACTTATTACTACTTTTTATTTGTTTTCCAGAAATCCCCAACTCATAGTATGTGGGTGGACTACCATTTCCTGGTATTTATAAAATTCCAGGAAGTCTTTGATCATGAAAACTAGCAATGAGCCCTTCTTCCTCCCCTTTCTGGCAGAAAGAACCTTATCCTACTAGTTTTTAAAAGGTGACCAATTCTTGTTCTGGCAACCCCATTTAACAATAACTAATCAACTATTCAAGTAAAAAACAGGTGTTTGTGGCTAAAAAAGAAGCTAAAAAGAAATGAAAAGAAAAACTTTCTAAAAATAACAAACCAGCCTAAACCGGTTTGGCTCAATGGATAGGGCATCGGCTTGGGGACTGAAAGGTCCTAGGTTCGATTCCGGTCAAGGGCATGTACCTTGGTTGCGGGCATATTCCCAGTAGGATATGACTCTCTCTCATCGATGTTTCTAACTCTCTATCTCTCTCCCTTCCTCTCTGTACAAAATCAATAAAATATATTTAAAATAATAATAATAATAATAATAATAATAAAATAAATAAATAAAAATAACAAACCAGCATACCAGTCACTAACTACAGACTGGGATGCGGAGACTTGAACTTTTGCTTTCTAAAGCAAAATTGGACTCTGTCAAAGCCTACTCCTATGTGAATGTGATAGAGGTGAAGGAAAAGCTGGCAGAGCCAATTTGTTAATGGATCATTCCATTGGGCACATAAGGTCCTAACAGAAAAATCACATGCAGAACTAGTCCACAGAGCAAAAAACCTGGAAAACCAAAGCCATCTGTTGCATGCTGGTAGTTTTGTTTGTTTATAGATAACAAAGGTAGAAGTGTTATGAGCAACACAAGTAAACCATAGAATTTTAAAATATCTTTCCTAAAAGTTCAGTCTTCTAAAATATTAAGGAGGGAGTAGAGAGAGAGGAAAGAGAAGGAGAGAAAGAGAGAGAAGTGAAAAAGAGAGAGAACAGAATGAGAAAAGAGAAAAAGGGGAGGAGGAAGGCCGAAAACTGGTTTGGCTCAGTGGATAGAGCGTCGGCCTGCAGACTCAGGGGGGATGGGGTGTGGGGGTGTCCCAGGTTCGATTTTAGTCGAGGGCATGTACCTTGGTTGCGGGCACATCCCCAGTGTGGGAGGGGGTGTGTGTGCAAGAGGCAGCTGATCGATTATTCTAGCTCTCTATCCTTCTCCCTTCCTGTGAAAAATCAATAAAATATTTTTTTTTTAAAGGGGAGTAGGAATTCTACCCAGTCTTCTCTGAAGCCAAAAATTTTAAGAGTAGAGATTTAATCTCAATACATAGGTTTATTATTTTGGGTCGTACTCATAATTTTATTGTCAAGATAAATTATGTAAGCTAAAATATTATTCACTTATTTATATTTATTTAATTAAATATAAGATACTATCAATTATATACCACTGAAGAAGAAAAAAACACATGTTGCTAATTAAACTATGCCAAGGTATCAATTTTAAAATGTACAATTTCAGAGATAATAAAAAGTAAAAATTATTCATAGAATCTATGTACTATATATGACAGTTTGAAATCCAAGATATATCATTGTTATGCAAACAGGCATAGTACAGTATAGCACCAAGAATAAGACAATGTTTTACGAGCAGAGATGATGTGTTGCTAGAACAGAGGCAAGTGACCAATATAAAACCCTAAAGTTGCAGTAGCTAACACTTACTGAGCACTGATCACATGGAAAGTACTTAAAACAGTATCAGGGACATGAAATTCATTTATTCTTCCTGAAGAAGATAATCCTTAACACCACCTTTCTTTGCAAATTAAGAAACTGAGGCACAGAGGTTAAGAAACTTATGACTAGTATGGAAACCACTTTCCTGCTTCTAAAATATCGACAATATTCTGGCTCCTAAAAAAGCAAAAAAGAAGATTGCAAAATCAACATAACCACAAATAAAAGGACTCAAATTTCCAAAAATGTGTGGTCTGAATGTCATATTTCCTTCATACGTCACTGCAAAAATTAGATTAATTTACTCTAAACCAGCAGTTGGCAAACTATGGCCCATGGCCAAGAATAAACTTACACCTGTTTCTGTAAACCACGTTTCCTGGGAACAGAGCTACACTTCCTCCCTTACTGCCTGTGGCTGCTTTTGCACTACAGCAACAGAACTGAGTAGATGCAACAGGGACCATAGAGTCTAAAATACTATCTTCATCTACTACAGAAAATTTCTGCCCAGTCCTCATTCTAAACTCTTCTTCATTCAAACTTTTCTAAGTACAAATTGGCAGTTACAAAATAGTCATGGGGATATAAAGTACAGCAGAGGGAATAGTCAATAATATTGTAATAAATATGTATGATGCCAAATTTACATGGGAAATCACTTTGTAAATTGAATGTCTAACCACTATGCAGTACACCTGAAACTAATATAATGTCAAATGTTAACTATCATTGAAAAAAGAATTTTTTTAAGGGAAAAAAACTTTACTATTCAAACATAAACATAAACACTCCTTAAACCTAGATTTGGTTTAAACAAAACTTCAACTTACAAAACAAGCAGTCACAATATCAATAGTAAACTAAACATTAATGAAGAAGGAATGTTTTTCTCCTATATCGATATGAGAACTTTTAATTCTCTACAAGAGAATAGATAAAATCTCTCATCTTAATTAACTTTAATTTTGTTATAATTTGTGTTTTATAGGCCTTTACCACTGTATTACCAAACATTAATAGACCACTTTACAGAACTCTAATCTCACTTCTATTAGAATGTCTTTTCTTTATCTTATAATACTAACGTAAAAATATTTATGACCAAGTAAAAAGTATTAAAATGCCATGCTTGAATGAACCATAATAGTTACATTATTGTTAGTTTGGGCTAAACCTGCCAATATAGTTTAATCTGTAAACATTGATTTTTATTATACAAAGAGGAAGGGAGAGGGATAGAAAGTTAGATATATCAATAAGAGAGAAACACCAATCATCTGCCTCATGCACGCCCCCTTCTGGGGACAGAGCCCGAAACCAAGATACATGCCCTTGACCAGAATCGAACCCAGGACCCTTCAGTCCATAGGCCGACACTCTATCTACTGAGCCAAACTGGTTAGGGCCCAAGTGAGTTTTTAAAAGATTAAGCCAATCTTTATTCAAAAGAAGAAGGCAAAGAAGACATTGTAGTACCTTTGGTACCGCAGCCTGGAAAACAAAGTCCGTCATGTCCAGCTCTGTGCTGTTAGAGGCCTGTATCGTTATCACCGTGACACTGGGGTTGGTGTTTGACCGTTCAAAGGTGAATTCTATCTTCAAGCCATTCTTATTGTATGCTGTGATAGAGGGGATGCCTGGGAAAGTACAGGAAGCTTAGCCTAACTGTAGGCAGGCTAATACTTATAAAATTATTATTTGCTTTCTTCAATAACTTTAATAACATCAGTAATTGTACCTGTAGTGATATCATTGAAGAGAGGTTGTGATGAAAGCCCATCCAACAAGAAAGGGGGCTGGGATATCTGTGGGGCTGAGGCAGGGGCAGGAGCAGCAGTTGGAGCACCTATAGGAAACAGTCCAATGTTAAGTCAATATTACCCAGCATGACAAAACTCTTCAAGAAAATATAGGAGAAAAATATTATGACCTCAGGTTAAGAGAAAGATTCCACAAATAAGATGCATAATGCATAAACCAGAAATGAAAAGAACTTAAAATTCAAACACTTTAAAATTGAATAATGTCTGTTCATTAGAAAATACTGTAAAAAAAAAAAAATAGAGAGACCACAGGCAGCAGAAAATGCTCCTACAAGACAACTAATGAATGAGTATCCAGAACTATAAATACCTTCCTACAAGTCAATAAGGAAAAAATAACCCAATTTAAAAGTGGTAAGAAATAGGAATATCTTATGAAAAGAACATCTTATGAAAAAAGATGCTCAGTAATTAGGAAATGGAATTTAAAGCCACATTGAGATACTACTTCACATCCAGTACAGTGGTGAAAATTTCAATGTGATAATACCAAATATTAGTAAGAACGTGTAGCAATGGGGACTTCTAACCTGTCATAGGAATATACACTGACACAACCAAACTAGAGACAATGTAGCAACAATAGAGCTGAGCAGTGAGTATATACCTAAAGTTCCTCAACCTCAAAACTCATAACACTTTAAATGATTCTTTGTTGTGGGAGGCTGCCTTGCGCATTGCAGTGTGTTTATCAGCACCCTTGGCTTCTACTTATTAAATGACAGTAACATCCTCCAGTGTGACACCTGAAAATATCCTCTAAGCCCTGGTGGGCAAAATCTCCCCATTGAGAACCAGAGCCTTTTGCACAAATTCTTAAGTATGTACACAGGGAAACTTGTATAAAAGTGTGCATAGCAAGATAGTTTGTAACAGTGAAATACTGGATACAACCAAATGTCCTTCAAGATAATGGGCAAGTAAATTGTGAGAGGGTGCAGGCTGAGCTGCGGGGGGGGGGGGGGGGGGGGGGGGGTCCTCCATACACAAATTTCGTGCATCAGGCCACTAATTTTGTATGATAAAAGTAAACATACACATACACAATAGTAAAACTGTTAATGCACTAGAAGTGCAGTTGACCCTTGAATAATGTGGAAGCTAGGAACACTATTATTCCGTACAGATCTCCACACATGAGGATTCCCAATGAAGGAGTTGACCTTTGGACAACTCGAGTTTGTACTGTGAGGATCAACTGCACAGGTCAACTGAACAAATGAATAATTCATAGATTATTCTCACAAATACAATGTTCAAAAGCAAAAGAACACTCAGTTGGATATCATTTCTATAAACGTAAAAACTGGCAAAACAATATTACACACTATTATCTATATATATAAAAGCCTAAGTGACCATCACAACTGAATGGACAACCACACAGGCTGCATGGGGCAACCAGACCAGCAAGGGGTTAGTGAGGTGCGACCCAAGGACCGAACAGCAGGCTGCGTGGGGCAACCAGGCCCGCAGCGGGGACAGTTGGGGGCAACCAGGCAGGTGGGGGGGCAGTGAAGGGTAACAAGGCTGGCAGAGGGGGGCAGTGAGGGTGACTAGGCCAGTGGGGGTGGCAGCTGGGGGTGACCAAGTCAGAAGGGGAGGCAGTAAGGGGCGACAGGACCAGGGAGGCACAGTTAGGGGTGATCAGGCAGGTGGTCAGGTGAGCAGTTAGGAGCCAGTGGTCCCGGATTGTGAGAAGGATATCCCAGGATTGGGCCTAAACCGGCAGGCAGACATCTCCCGCGGGGTCCTGGATTGGAGAGGGTGCAGGCTGAGCTGAGGGGGGCCCCCCATGCATGAATTTCTTGCATCAGGCCACTAATTTTATATGAAAAACCCAATATTGTGTTTAGTTTGGACAAAAACAAATATTAAAAACAACTTGAAATTTGGTCATGTTTAGGGCATCAAAATGGACTGTCGACTTAATCCTATATAATAAAAGTGTAATATGCAAATTGACGGAATGGCCAAACAATGGAAAGACCATCTGGGACCACGCTATGACACCACTGGTGCCAGGCTAGCCAAGGTGGGTGTAATGCAATTGGTCAGGGACCCAGCCATTGCCCCATGATCTCCCTCAGAGGAAGGCTCAGGTCACCCACTGGTCTCCCTATGCGAGGGAAGACCAGTCCCATGTGCCAGAGGGAAGCCGGTGCTGGCAGCCAGGCGAAGGAAGGCCTACTCTTGCATGAATTTCATGCATTGGGCCTCTAGTAAAGAAATATACAGAAATGGTAAACACCAAAGCTAAACACTGCTTCAGGATAGACAGTAGTGACCTCTGGGACCAAGAGAGAAGGAATTGAGGGGGAGGTACAAAGGGAATGTTAACTTTCATAACAATATTTTATTTTACAAGCTAAGTAGATCAAGGCATTTATTGAATTTTATAGATGTTAAATATTGCATAATAAAAATTTAACACACACATACTCTGGAGAGAGTGGTATGAAGGAGGGGGGTAGGATTACCAGATTACCATTTTTATTTGATCCTTCCCATAAGAACAAGGAGGATCATACAACTGAGAGCAAATGATAGAATATGGCCATGACCTGAGAGAAATCAAAATTCTAAGAAGCGGTATAAGAAAATTCTGGAAAATAAAGAAAATGCATTTTATATTTAAACATATTTAAAATTACTTATAAAATTAACTGAAATTATACTAATAACAAAATTTAAAAAATAAAGGAAGAGTGAAATATCCTTTGAAAAAATACCTAACTATCGATATCCTAAGGGAAAAAACAACAAGCATGCTAAAAATTAGCAAGGAAGGTAGAAAAACAGATGACTAAGCAAAGCACAAGAAGTTAAAAACAGATATGACACTGCAGAACATGCAGTCAAGCAGATTGTCTATGAAGTATACAAATAAATATTTATATAGTTCTGAGTTTATATAAATCTAATCTACTAATTTCCCCACAATTACCATTTTCAAAACAATTTTAGAAACATGTTCTCGTGGAAAATTAGAGGCTACCAAAATATATAGATAACATATAGGTCCTTAAGTCCCTTAAATTTTAGCCTTTTTCTCCTCTGAAAATACCATAGGTAGTACCACAGAAACTTACTGTACCAATTCCTCTAAGAACACACACTAAATTTATTTAGATTTCCACTGATTATATTACTGTGCATTAGGATATAAGTAATGATGGCTTAAAGAATCTACAACTCAAAAATAGGAAAATATGTTTAAAACACATTATGAATTAATATAGGAAAATTTAGACTTGACACATTGTTGTTTTGCTTTTTCATATAACACTGGGAAAACAAGTAAGTAAGAACAAAAGCAAAATAAAACATTAAGACTCCATGATAAATGAGTTAAGGACTCAAAAGGAATGTGGAAAATAAAATTCATGTATAATGCAAAAATGTTGATATATATGAACCATTCCGTGATTGAAAAACTTGAAATTAACAAAATAATAGGGCCAATTTTTAATCTGCTAGGGCTCGTAAAAAAATGATAGTACACAATACTTATGATTGTATAGTAAAACTGGTGGCAATATACATGGAGGTTAAGGTAAAAATATTTATCGTATGCCTACTATGAGTCATACATGCACTGAATAAGTCACCATTCCTCATAAATATTCTCTGAGATTAAGTATTTGTCATGTTTTTTTTAAAGAGATTTTTTTTAAACATATTTTATTGATTTTTCAAAGAGGAAGAGAGAGGAATAGAGAGTTAGAAACATTGATGAGGGAGAAACATCAATCAACTGCCTCTTGCACACCTCTCAGTGGGGATGTGCCTGCAACCGAGGTACATGCCCTTGACTGGAATCGAACCTGGGATCCTTCAGTCCGCAGGCCTATGCTCTATCCACTAAGCCAAACCAGTTAGAGCTGTCATCTTTATTTTAAACAGATTCAGAAAGACTAATTAGTCAAAGAAAGTAATCCAAAATAAGGACAAATTTATATAACCTTCCTGCTGTCCCTCCCTGACCACCAGCCTCAAATGGGACTGGGTGAGATGGCCCTGATCAGCCCTGATCGCTAGCCAGGCGGGGGGAGAAGGGGGGGGGGGGAGACATGCATGACGACACCCGTGCATGAATTTCATGCACCAGGCCTCTAGTTGCTTTAATAATAGGGAAGAAGGGAGCTCTGGAAAACTAACAATAAATAGAAAGAAACCTAGAGAAAGGAAAGTGATGTCTTCAGATACTAATTAAAAGCAAAGGTGACTTGGGATTTTTTTTTCCAGCCTGAAAGTTTTAAAATGCAAGTAATTATCCCCAAATTAAACAAAACAACAACAACAAAAAATGGACTTTAAGGAATCCCTAGTCTCTAGAGTGTTAGCATGGCACCTTATATCCCAGATGTTGTGAAGATTCTAATCTTGCTTCTGACTTACCTTTGCCCATCTTCAACTGATGGATGTGCTAGAAAGTCCAGGTAGTTTTTCCCCTTATCCCTATCTCAGCATTAAATAATTCCACTCAGGCCTCACCTGTAAGGTTGATGTCTCCCAGCAAATCAAGAAGCTCTCCACCAGCAGAAGCTGGTTTGCTTGTAGGTACAGTTGGAATAACAGGTGTTATGTCATTTCCTCCCAACAAATCCAATAAATCATTGGCCTAAACAAGAAAATAATATCTCAATTTATTAATCATTTGCCTAGTCTACTTCATTATAATGCAAAGCTCTTTCAACCCTTAAAAATAAGAGAATCATCAGTCAATCTCGGAACACTGAAGGGAATCAGCTAAGAGATTACAAGGAATTATCGATCATCAGTGTCCCCAGGGAAGCCAGTGAAAAGCTACCTGGCTGCTCGGCTGTGGCCCAGAGGGCGGTGGTTTGGTCTCTAGCGGAGCTGGTTCTGTCTCTCCATTTGTCTGCACAATCTCCGTAGGACCATTTGTGGTCACTTTTTCCATGACAGGCATTCTCTCAAGCAAGGCAGACCTGAAAAAAATATCTGAAGTGGTTAAATTCCAGGCAATTAGTCTAGATTCCCTACCCAAAACAATCACTGTAACTATACTAGGGCCAAACATGAAAAGCCATTTCTCCTGCCCACCCTACACATACATTAGTGGATGATAAGAAAACATGACCTAAATTCCTAGCTGGATTTAGGGCAGGCAAGAAACCTTGAATGAACAAGCTGTCTACCTAAATCCCAAGAAATTGAGATTTCTCAGTGGTAGAGAAGTTGGAATGAAAGCAAGATAAATCAGTAAATATTAACAGGTTCCAATAAAAATACTGTATAACAGAAGAGGGCGGTGGGAGATGACACCAAAATATTCATAGTAATATCTGATGAGATTCTCTAGAGAAAAATACAGCTCTTACTTCTGAAACCAAATAAAATGGAAAATGAAGCTAACTTTCTGTACCAAAAGAAAGGGGAGATAAGGAATGAAAAGTCAATTAACTTCTTTCTTTATAGAGATTAGGCAGAATAGGAAATAAATAAAACAGAAGCAGTCAAACAATTAGAACTGAACAGGGTAGTGAAGGCCAGTTAATAAGACATGAGGGATGAGTCTCCTTTATGGATTATGACAATCTGTCTGGGATGCTAAGAGGCACATGCATTGCTTAGTTTCTTTTACTTACCTCATATGGTCATATTTCTTAAAAAGTGCATTGTATTCTACTGCCCTCTGCTGGAGTTCCACATCAATGCTGCTTCCATAGATGGAAACCACTTTCTTTATTCGGCTTTGGGATAAAATGACAAATGAATTCAAATATACAAAAGAAAGTTCATGAACAAGCAGACAGATTAATGTTTAAACCAGAGTTTTCTGGTTAAAATTTTCAAATACCTTTTCTTAAGTTACACAGTCTTTCAAAAACAAAACATCTTTCCTTCATCTTCATTCATCCAACATATACACAACATACAATGAAGTGAAAACCATCACAATCAAAGTTACTCACAAGAACTCATACAGAACCACACTGGCTTCCTTACTTATCCAGTGACTGGACTTTCAACAGAATCAATAACAAAACCAAGAAAAGTGACCCCTACATCCAAAAGGAGAAATTCTCTCACACAATCTCTTGGATCAACAAAGGCCCAGAATTTAGAATTCCTTTTGGGTGGGGGTAGGGTGAAGAGGTTATAGTTTTTCAGAAATAGCCTGGAATGTCTCATCCCATCTGTCTGATACCCTTTTGTAACTTGCCTTTCAGGGGGAAGGAAAGCCTTTGTTTACAGCTGCACTAACACTCCGGCCATAGCTAGCACCTTGTTTGTTTTGTATTCTGAATTAAAACTCATTAAAAGCAGTGCTACTCTTGCCGAGACCGGTTTGGCTCAATGGATAGAGCGTCGGCTTGGGGACTGAAGGGTCCCAGGTTCGATTCCGGTCAAGGGCATGTATAATACTACCTTGGTTGTGGGCATATCCCCAGTAGTGGGTGTGCAAGAGGCAGCTGATGGATGACTCTCTCTCATTGATGTTTCTAACTCTCTATCTCTCTCCCTTCCTCTCTGTACAAAATCAATAAAAAAAAATATTTTTTTAAAGTGTTACTCTTAAAAAAAAAATACACACACACACACATATACTTCAACACCATCATCTCTCTTCCTCTCTGAAATCAATAAAAATACTAAAAAAAAAACAACTAAAAAACAAAACAAAATAGTAAACAGCAGAATTTGATCGCTTCTTGGCCTTTTGGCTAAGATCAAGTGTAAACAGCAGAATTTAAAGACTTAAACACCACAACCCTCATGATTTTCTTCCTATCCAGACATCTCAAAATATTACTACAATAAAACAGAATCTTTATATGGGAAAATAACTTCTCAATTTGATATCAAGTCACAGTTAAAAATGAAAATGGGCATTAGAAATCTGATTTTAAAAACATCACAAGCTCAAAATAATCTATGATGGGGTGTGCAAAGTATAGATGAAATAAGGAATAACCACGAAATGATGATTATTATTGTGGTGTAATAGGTATATGCAAATCATTTTATTATTCTCTCTTTGCTTGAAATATTCCATAATAAAACGTTTCAAAGGTTACAAAACAACCTGTTCACCTATTTTTTCTCCATACTCACTTTACAGTACAGGTGAATCGAGTAGAAAGCTTCATAATGGCAGTGAGGGAATAACCTCGTGTCACAGAGGCAGACATATTAGAGATTAAGACACTTTCTAAAATATCCAACACTTCATCTTCTGTTACCTGAAGAGAAAAAAAAAAAAAAAAGACAATGTACAATGAAATGTAAAAGTAATTATCAAAATTTGATATCAAGTCACAGGATGCCACCAGAAAGACAATCCTACCATCACTACCAAAGCTTCTAACACAATCTGTTCTTGGCCAGGATAACTGTCCAAACTGATCCATCAACCAGAAGCAGGTGGAAGGTATGTTTTAAAAAAAAATGTGGAAAATACCCACTGGGGGCTGAGAGGCATATTTAGCTGCAAGAGGCAGAAGTAGAGGAAGGGGAAAAAAGTTACATGGAGTTCAAATATTGTTGCCACAACTTCTCCTAAAAGCCAGTTGTTTAATGAGCAAATGGAAATATGGTTATAGGTCTCATTTCTTCTTGTTTAAATCAACCAGAGAATAAGAGAAATAATATAATTCCCCCTGACAAAGTGGAGAGTGGATTTTAAAGTCTCAAAATGGCTCATTAAGTTCCACTTCAAAAACTGACAGGTTTCCCAATATAATTCCAGTATTATTTCTTTAAAGAGGTTTTCCAGGAATCAACCACAACTCCTCACTAAACACTGCCTGCTTATGACCAAAACTACTCTATTCCCCATCTATGATCAAGAGGAACAAGGGGTACCTGAATAGGCTCTTCCTCTTCACATTGGCCAGATATGAGAAGATCTCCATATTCACCTATACACCATGCAGCTACTTGTACCAAAGGTTGCTGTCAAGAGAAAGTCATCGTTTGTCAAAGATTTTAACCCTTAGAAAGATTAATGCAAATTATAGGTCATCTAATCATAAAGGTCAAGATTTAGGTACATCTAGCACAGTGGTTCTCAACCTTTCTAATGGTTGAGAAACACTAGCAGGGTCGCCTAAGACCATCGGAAAACACAGATATTTATATTACGATTCATAACAGTAGCAAAATTACAGTTATGAAGTAGCAACGAAAATAATGTTATGGTTGGAGGTCACTACAACATGAGGAACAGTATTAAAGGGTCTCGGCATTAGAAAGCTGAGAACCACTGATCTAGAGTGTGAGTTATAAGAACATATGAGAAAAATAAAGTGTAATTTCCTCCCAAAGCAGAAAAAAAAATAAATAAAAGGCAAACGAAGTTCTTACTTGAGAATAATCACCGAGAATTGCTTTGTATAAGCGCTGGACAGTATAGGCATGCATCTCCACACTATTGGTTATTAACTGGATCAAGTTGGGGACTGCATCATCACGAACATAGCTTCCTGCCTAAAAGGAAATGCAGACAGTTACCACTAGAAACACATAATAATGATAAATGTTAGCTATTATTATCGCTGTTAAGGAGAGACTACTAAAAAAAACATTCAAAGATAAAGTTGATTCCTATTTTCAGGTTCATAAACAGCTCAAACTTCAGTCTTACTTATTTAAATTAATATTCCAAGTTTCTTAATTTTATAAAAAAATAAAATCTTCTCTTTGTCCATAGTAAAAGGAAAATATAAAGGATTAAAAATTTCAAGAAGTTACTAGCTACATAAAGGATAGATAAATTTTACATAGTAGCCTTCACTGTTATAATTCAGTTCCTTTTTGATATTGGTACTTTAGCCTCTGAGCCTTTATCAAGCTCACATGCAACATTTGCCGAGACAGACCACATTCTGAGCCATAAAAAATACCTTAAATTTAAAAGAATAGAATTCATACAAAGTTAAACTAGAAAGCAGTAACACAAAGATAGCTGAGAAATCCCCAAATAGTTTGAGATTAAACATGGTACTAAATAACACATGGGTCAAAGAAAACATCGAAAAAATTATTAAAAACACCAGTATGTTTTGATAAACATTTTTCTTAAACTAATTAAATGTGTGATATCTACTCTGGTAACATAATTACACACAGTTAGTTATATTTCCTTTATATACCACTACACTTTCATTTTTACTCTGACATCTCTTATCCCTATTAATCAAATAATAGAAAAATCTCCAAAATTTTGGACAAAGAAAAAATACCTTATAAAACTGTAATCTTAAATCCAGAACAAATGTAGTCATTGGAAACCTTCCAATGGCTTCCTAACACATTCACAATAAAAGCCAAACTCCTATGAGGCCCCATTTAATCTCGCCCTGCATCAATGCCACCAATCTCTGCCTTCACTTGCCTTCTTGCTCTCCAAGTAGTCCAAGCTTATTGCTACCTAATGTCTTTGCTACCCCTGCTGCGCTCTCAGATTAGTACACTTCTTTCCCAAATCTTTGCGTGGCTAATTTCACTAAGTTCTCTACTCAAAGGTTAGTTCCTCTGAGTGACCCGCCCTGACTACCTAAAATACTTGGCCCATTGCCCCATATTCCATCCTCCTCGGCCATCACCATAGTCCTCATGCTGTTTTAGTGTTTCTTGTAGCATTTTCCCCTGCCTGACAGTACAGTACATATGTCCCCTGAATTTCCTATCTCCCCCACTAGCACCTAAGCTTCATGAGAATAAGGGCTTTCTCTGCCTTAAACAGCACATTCGGCAGTTAGTACATGGTGACTTAAAAAAGCTACTTACCGTTGTCAGAACACGCATAATTGTGTCTATATGCCACCGTTTGGAAGGTGCATACCTAAAAAAATAATGGCACCAGGTGAAGAAATTGGAACCTGTAAATCATACTGTGCTCAGTGACTTTCAAAAATCCTGCCTATTATCGTAAGTAATTATATTTGGGGACATTTCACCTTCAAATCTAGCAGCAATACCCATTTCCCAGGGTGATGAAATGGCGCACTGTCAATTCAGATGGTCTACGTAGTATTGCAATAGGAGTTGCTGAGCTAAGAAAAGACTGTCTGAGAAAACAAAGTCAGGTAGGAGAGGATAGAGAAGAAAGAAAAGGGACTGTTCCCATACCCAGACACACCAGAACTAGGAAATTGGTCCTTTAAATTCACAGTGGAAAGTGTAGAAATAACCGTACTACCAAAATCTTTAGGTATTTCTTGCTAAAAGTTTTACACACAGCCACAATTCAGATGCTGAAACATCTATATCCTCATAAAGAGGGCATCATGAATGACAGGTTAAAGAACAGATTATAAAAGGATTATAAATCCCAAGTTTTATAAAAGAGGAATTTTTGGAGGGCGGGGTGTCTTAGTATACTTAAATGCTGGCTATCATGGCCTCCTCAAAGTTAATTTCTAATTGGGAGCTTAAAATAGCCATTACATGTTTTAAATAGGTTTACAACATTCTTCTCATCTTTTAAAAATGCTTTTTAAAATTCCAAGCATTTTTTATCAATAAAAATCAAATTAAATCTTACTTTTCTGCAGCAAGAAAGATTCCAGATGCACAGTCGGCTTTAAATTCTGGCTCACAGGAATCCAGAAAATAAAGTAATTCCTTCATCATGCCTCGGATATTATTCCCATTTACTAGGGCAAAACTCAATTCCATTGCACGCCTTGCAGGGGAGAAATTACAAAACAAAACCAGAAAGAAACCAGTTATATTTACTGTGGGAATGAAACAAAGACCCAGGGATTTTCTCTCTGAACTCCAAGCACTGGGGGATATGTTCCTGTTCTTGCATGATCCTGTAACCCTATCTTTGCACACAAGATAACAGTCGGACACTTAGCATATTAGGCTTTTATTATATAGGATGATGCAAGTATTAGCTGCATTATATAGCTATGATAACTGTTTTTGCAATATATGACTGTTAAATTAATGCACTGTACACCTTAAATTTGCAGAATGTTATGCAAATTATATCTCAATAAAGCTGGGGGGAAAACTGAAAGAGAGAATGAGGGCCATGAAAAGGAAAAAAGGGCATGTGCTATGAGGGCAAATAAAAGTTTTTTAACTGCCTATCAAATTTTGTAACCAAGGCAAAATAAAAATGTTTAACACATAAAAGTTATAAGGTTAATATAAACATCTTTTCATATTTGGTCAATAACATCAAACATGGTATATAGATTGATTTTTAAAAATATTAATTTAATAAGGAGAAAGTACTGTCATCTTAGCTAATTTGTAAGCAATAAAAACCCAATCTTTATAGAAATACAATAACAGACAATTCTTATATAATGCTTAGGTACTTTATTTATATTAATTCAATTTATCGTATATAATCCTAGAAAATGGGTTCTCTTGTATGGAAATTTTACATATGGGACAACTGAAGCACTAAAAGGTTAAGTAACTAGACCACATCTATTTTGGGCAGAGGCAGGATTCAAAATAAGACAGTTTGGCAGTCAAGGAGATACAGATTTTACTTTTGAAATGAAAAGCCCAGTAACAAGCTATAGAAAAATAAAACAAAATAGGAATCAGAAGGCCTGATTTCTATTCCCAGGTCTGCCCTTGTACAAGTAATTTGATTCCTTTTGGGACTATATTTTCACTAATCTGTTCATTGAGAATAGAAGTAATTGCCTAGTCTCACTGGCTTGCTCCGAGAATTGAGAGAGTGTTCACAGATCCTTTACTTTGCAAGAACTAAGTGAAAGTTGTTATTGCGGAGTCAAGATCTTATCTTTAGATTGTCCAAACATTTAGTACGCGTTCTCGGCAAACAAAAGAAACTTAATGTCAATAAATGTTTGTTATGTGCATAGTTTCAGAGATCATTTCAACTCTAATTTGTTCTGGATTTGAGCATACAACCACAACTAAAAGTTCACTGGACCAACTACAGTGAGGTTTCATAAACATTTATAATCCTTCTAAGAGAAGAACCAGTATAGCTATTCCATAGAGAGGAAAAAAAGTTAAAAAGTGCTATCTACCTCCTTCCTAACATCATTCCTAGATGCACTTTTCTAAAAACACGGCTGCCTCTAGCACCTTGGGGCACAGTACTGTGAGGAAAAGTGTGCTGTCAGCAATTTGAGTTTCAGCATCGTGATAAAACACTTAGCCGATGGATCACTCTGTATTTTTCATCCTCCAGCACACAAAGCACAGTACTTCCATAAAGCAACCTTTTGCCAAGCTTATCTCTTTATCAGTTTTATTTATCAAAGAACCAAGGACAACTTCATTGTGCACTGAAGCATTCCTTATTGGCCTCCTTTATTGACCTAACCTTCGCCCTGCCAATCCTTTCTAAAAAAGGATTGACTCTGCAGGGAATTCATCTATGAAAATGAGAATAATACATAAAGGTCAACATTCTCACTTCTAAAACTATTACAAAGTTACCAGGTGGGGTGGAGGCAAAGAACTATCAATAATCTGTTACCGTTTTATTGAGACATCCAAATCTTTCAGACAGTCCACAATGGTGCTTCTGTGCCTCTGCACTGCATTATGATCTGTCTGCACAGTCTTCAACAAAGATGTCAGAGCTACATATCTGGATGAAACGAAGTTGCAGGAGAACAGAATTAAAATGTAAAATTCAAGGTGTGTTTTTTCTGCCTAAAATAATGACAAAAAATGTCTAAAGACTAAGGGAAAGCACATATTTTAAACATGTAAAAGAAAGACAATAACTATAATGGTAACATTTTAAAGGCATAGAAGACACATTAAGGTAATGACAACCAGAAGAAGCCTTGGATTTAGAATATTTGCATTCATGGCCAAGTCCATTGCAACTTCTAAAAGTGACTGGTTCAATTATTTCAAGTACTTCCAAAAAGTACAACAAAATAAGCAGATAATATGCCTTTTTGGGACCTTAGCCCTAAAATGCAAAAGGAAATTATTTCAATTTTACCATTTGTATTTATTCTGCTTTTGAGACTCATACAAAATTTTGAGTATAACATCCAAGTATGAAAAATTCTTTTAGAAGGAGGAAATAATTCAGGATATCACAATAATTATTTTCACGTTTTGTTTTTTTTTTTTTCAAGTTTAACAAGGTAAGAAATTTTTTTCTCCTGATTAAAAGAGGGAAAAAGGCAAACAGAATAAACTACAAAGAAAAGATAGTACTAATAAATTTATCTACTTTAAGTAGTCACCCTGGCCAGTGTGGCTCAGTTGGTTGGGTGTCGTCCTGTGTGCTAAAAGGTTGCTGGTTCAATTCCTAGTCAGGGCATATGTCCAGGTTGCATCCCTGGGAGGGGGCATGCAGGAGGCAGCTGACCTATGTTTCACCCTCACATTGATGTTTCTCTCTCTCCCTCTCCTTCTCTAAAAATCTTTTTTTAAAAACACACACACACACAAATAAATGGAATTGATAAACACGTTCTATATTGGGACAGTAAACTTCCAAGCTCCCTGCAAATATCCAGTCCTCTGCTGTCTGGTTTTGTAAATCAATTTTTATCAGAACAGCAACATTCATCATTTATATGATCTATGACTGTTTTCATGCCAACAGGCACAGCTGGGTAATTGCCACAGAGACCAAAGGCCCACAGAGCCTAAAATATTGACCATTTGGTCCTTCACAGAAAAACTTTAATGATTCCTGATTTATAATATGCAGAGGTGTAAAAATTAAGCCACGAAGCAAATCCTCAAATTCTTTACAAAACAATAGTTTTAAGACCAGACTAAAATAGAAATCCTGAGTTTCCTCAGCTGAAATTCTAGATAAGTCACTTAATACATGTGTGATCTTGAGCAAAGTCACTCTTGAAAACAGACTTTATAATAACAAAATATAAGACATTTTTCAATTGCTTTACCTAATATTCTTGTCATTGTTCAATAAGAAACGACCCAGGATATTTATGGCTAGGACCTAAAGAAAAATAGCATAAGTTAAAAATCTAGAAAAATTAAAGATTTCTATTGTTTAAGGATCACTTCTGGCCTCTGTTGAGTGCAAACTATTTATAGGGGGTAGTTGGTATTTCATGATCTTGAAAGACCAGAAAGTTCTGAAAATCAACAATGGTGTTTGTTGCACAACAATGTGAATGTACTTAATGCCACTGAACCACAGATTTTTTGTTGTTGTTAAACTGGTAAATTTTATGCTATATTCTAGCTTTTTTTTTTTAATGAAAATGAGCTCTATATATGAATATAGACTAGCTTCAACATAACATTAAGTGAAAAAAGTAAAGTGCATTCATGGCCAAGTCCACTGCAACTTATAACGATATACACGATATGTTACCATTTTGTTTGAAAGGTGGGAAAAGGAAAAGAATTAATCTAAGTTACTTTGGTTATTTAAATAATCTAATCTAAAAAGAACTATACACAGATATTATATTATAGTAAGTTTATTTCTTATAAGACTATCGACGAGTTATTCTTACATTAATAAATGATTAAAAGAATGAATAAAATAATGAGGGAGAATTCTTCCTTACAGAAAAATTCCAGTTATTTAATGAGGACAAAATGAGGGAAACAGAGAAGTGTCATTAGATCACCACCCTAACAACTGCTGCAGACAAGATCTTCTGAAGAATAAAATTGATAGGCAAAAGTCTGAGGAGAACAAGATATCTGTATAGTCTTAAAGCATCTCCCACAAAATATTTTTAATCACAAAGGGAAAAATAACTTTACAGTGGAAAGACACAGCAGACACGACCTTAATCAAGTGATCAAGGTTAATATCACCAGTACCGAGACAAATAGATATAGCATGTACCTCCTGAAATGATGTTAAGAAAGACACATCACTTCTATGATAGTCTTACCAAAATGACATAACCTCAATCTAATTATGATAAAGTATCAGACCGAGCCAAATTGGGGGACGTTCTAAAAAGTAACTGATCAGCCCAGCCAGTTTAGCTCAGTAGTTGAGCACTATATGAACCAGGAGGTTAGGGTTCGATGCCCAGCCAGGGCACATGCCTGGGTTGCCAGCTAGATCCCCAGTGAGGGATGTGCTAGAGGCAGCCGATCAATGATTTTCTCTTATCACTGATATTTCTATCTCTCTCTCCCTCTCTGAAATCAATAAAAATATATTTTAAAATAAAAAGTAACTCATCAGTGCTCTTCAAAGTGTCAAAGTCATGAAAGAAAAGGAGAGAGAGAGGAACTGTCACAGACTGGTGGAGACTAAGGAGATGTGACAATGAAATGCAAAGTGGAATCATAGATTAGCTCCTGGAACAGGAAAAGGACATTAGGAAAATTGGTGAAATCTAAATAAAGTCTATAATTTAGTTAATGACATGGTACCGATATTAATTTCTTAGTTTTGATAACTACATATAGTTATGCAAAATGTTACAGTATAGGAAGCTAAGTGAAGGGTATACAGAAACTCAACTGTTTCTGTAAGACTAAAATTATTTCAAGTAAAAAGATTTTAAAAGTGGGGAAGAGAAGAAATACACATATACAAACACATTTAAATTTTTTAAAAATCCCTGAAAAAATACATTATAAAATGGTAACAGTACTCCCCACTAGTAGAATTGAGAGTCATCACATGAAAACTACAGGCAGATGTTTTCTTCCCTATATATCTTCTGTACTGTTTGAGTTGTTTTACTGTATGTGTTTATTTCTATATAAGAGCAAATATTTAAGACATTCTTCCCAAAAGTTAATTTTCAAATGGGATTCATTTCCAAAGTGCTAAATCCAAATCAATTATTCTAGATGAAATGTTTAGGGAGAAGAAAATATATTAAAAGACTTACTCGCAGTCCACTCTCTGACTTAATATCCATGATAGTCAAAACTGTTTCATAAAGAATAGCATTTCCTACATTTTTACTAGTCTCTGTATTAGTGGCAACCTGAAAAGACACAGAGGGTGGTACACAATGATAAAACAATGCTTCCAAAAAATATCCAGGAGTAACAAGAGACATTCTGTGATTGATTATAGCCACCAATGAGGAAACACAAATAAAAATTGCTCCATATAACCACAATCATTCCACTCCCTACTATACTAAGATGAACATTTAATATAAATGTAAGGCAAGTTTGGCCTACTCACCTGTGCTAATATATCATTCATAGCTTCACTAGAATCATCATCATTTCGTCCTAAAATTCTTAATAACCGTAAAATTCGTACCTAATGTGCAAAAATATGAGAAATGTCAACAAATTATGTCTGAAACACAGAAACTTTTTGCTTGGTATGAAATTCAAGTATCTTTTTTTTTTCTAGATGTTTCCTGCATGGTTTGTCTCCTCAGTCATCGTCCACAGGACTCTGAGAAGTCGTAGGAATATGCAGGCGCAGACTCAAGGCCCGGCTTTCTCTCCAACATTGTGGAAAGGGACTGTACATCACGGGGCAGAGCCCTATGCTCCCCTACGCCACTTGGATAGAGCCCGGGGAGAGTGACCTCCCGGGGTATCCATGTTGGGGAAATTTAAGTATCTTAAATGAAGTCTTAGATCCCATTAGAAATGGTAAAAATTCAAACAGAAGATTTTAAATACTATCTTCAGAGAAATGGCATGTGTTTCTGTGTCTTAAGGAAGTTATTAGACAACCACAGCTGAAGGATGCCACCACCTGCAGAGCTGCAATACAGGCATACCACGGAGACACTGAGGTTCAGTTCCAGATCACAGCAATAAAGTGAGTGGTAGCCTTTTTGCTGGTGTAAAAAATAAAATACAACATCTGCAAAGTGCAATAAAGCAAAGTATAATAAAACAAGTATGCCTATAAACTGATGTCTCTATGTAGTACATAATTTTGATTATAACTATAATACCTTTCTATTAATTTTATAAAATACAGAATTGTGTCATTAATTAATGTAATTAATCAGTTAACTATAAAATTCTATCTGACACAAAGAGGGAGGAAACGCTCTATTCAAAGCTATTAAACATAAACCATAAATCCAAAGCTTTCTTTCCAGCTCACCTGCAAAAAGGGGTCACTGATACCAGAAACATCGTGTTCTGGTGAATATCCGGACATGATGAGGTTCTTTAGAATACGAACTAATTGGGGCACAAGCTGCAGGGAACAAAGACGCATCAAAAAACAGTGAACATCAAAGACTTTCTCATGAATAGGCAGGTAATTTGGCTTAGAAAAAAGGTACAAGGGTCTGAGTCCAAGCAAATGCTATTAATACAATATACTAGTATATTGTTGGTATTGGTTAAATATAACTTAGGAGGCTCTAGCCAGTTTGGCTCAGTGGATAGAGCGTCGGCCTGCGGACTGAAAGGTCCCAGGGTTTGATTCTGTTCAAGGGCACATGCCTGGGTTGCAGGCTCAATCCCCAGTAGGGGGCATGCAGGAGGCAGCCAATCAATGATTCTCATCATTGATGTTTTTATCTCTCTCTCCCTTCCTCTCTGAAATCAATAAAATTATATATATACTCACACATATATATGTGTGTGTGTGTGTATATCTATATATATAATTTTAACAACTCAGAGTATTTTTACTAAGAATTTAAATTCAGATAAAATTAGACTTTTTAACTCCAGAGTTATATATGCAAAGATACTACAATAACAGCAAGTCAGAAAGCCTATGGGAAGTAAGTAAAACAGATGCCTATGAAGCATATTGCATTTCTACGTCAATAGATTGACATACTTAGGTGTGGCACAAACATGCTCAGTTTTTATCCATTCACAACATTTGGATATAATACTAGCTTCACATATACAAACATCTGAATATAAAATGGTATCATACCAAAATACTGGTGACCTTATTAAAATTATAGTTTTAAAATATACTATCTCAAATAGAGAAAAAATGTTTTCTCTTCTTGAGATAAGCTAGTTATGTCTTTTTCCAACTAACAACAGAGAATATAAAAGCCTCCAACACTGAACAAGTGAAAAAAGATACACGAAAAATTGTATCTTTCGCCTTAAGATGATGCCAAAGCCATGAATATCTAAACTCATGTAACAGCATTTTCAATAAAATTAAATCTCAGCACCTAATTATACAGACTGATCTGTGTCACCTGTTTTCCTATCTAATCTTACTAATGAAACTTCCTTGTGGTCAAAATTCCCTTTTTGTCTTTCCTTTACTTTGTTCATTTAGTCATAACACAAAAAGAGGCAATTTTATCACCAAGCTGAATTAAAGATGCTTTAGATGTTATTATTAATTCCGTTCTGTTGATTAACCATTTAATGTTAAAACCCTAATCCAATGTTTGCCACAATAGGAACTTTTCCAGTCTCCAACTAAAAACTCAATTTAGCTATATAAATAACTTTAAATATCTAAAAGTTAACAAGTGTACACAGTGAACTGAATCACCTTTTCTTCTGAGGCAATGAGGACTGCCCCAATTTTGCTACAACTCAATTATTTTTTCTCATTGTATTTGAACTCTGTCTCCTCCCTACTCCCCAACTCTAAAAGGGAATCAAGATAAAAACAAAACTCAAGAACGCCCAAGGTATACACTTAAAACATTTTCATAATCCTAAAGCCACTTCTAAATATAAGAGAGCATAATCTGTGTAAATTTAAATAAGCTTGGCTATAACACTTTAGAAGTAAATGATTCATAAGGTTACCCACACAAAAATCTAATTTGGATGACTCTAAAATTAAAACAAATCTAAGCCACGAAGAGAAGCCACATTAAATCTATCAACTGTGGGCAGATTTATAATAGAGGTAAAAATAATATAATTTTATACACTACTTTAAAATTAACATAATAAAATCAGGATTATCTAGTTAACAAGCTCTGTACAAAGTCTCGCCTTGCATACTTTCCAATGGCCTACTTTTGTGTACTACATAGCCCTAATTATTTTTTAATCTGGTTTAAATCTTGAAGAAGTCCTTTTTCCTTGCTTTATTCATTGCCAAATGGCCAGCATACCACATTGGATCACCCTGGGACAAAAAAGCACAAATGTCTATATGTCCAGCATACTAATTCTTGGAACCCAGCTTTATTATTCAGACAAAAACACAAGTTGCTAAAACGGATGACAGGACAAACAAAAAGTAAGATGACAAAGGGAAAGGCTGCAGCCATGAAAATCAGTTGATGCCCACCTGCTCCAATTCAAAAATCCTTTTTATATTCCAACACTTCTAGGCAAAATAAGTGCAGGAAAGGGGGAAATAAAAGCTCTAAGTCTGAACTGAAAGCTCAGAAATTCACATGAATTTTTTTAAAGTCTGAGGTTACCCACATATAGTTCTAAAATATCTACTTCAAAAAGAAGTAGTGTTTTGTGTCAAGGCTCCAAACTGATCTGGAATTGCCATCACCAAAACCACTGGGAGGCTGCTCAAGGTTTCTCAAGCAAAGATAAAGGAGAGGCAAAGAAGGCGGCTTACAATTCAGGAAAGGCTACAACTGAAATCCAAGGCTGACTTTGGAATCGAGTTTAAGTGACAAGACAAAAAACTGGACTAGAGAGTTAGCCAAAAATGCTAGAACAAATAACTCACAGTGTTAAGCATAGCTTCAGCATTAGTATATTTTTAACAGCCACATTTGTGGATGGATACACAAAAGCTACTAAGAACCTAATGCCAGCATGCACCATCTAAAAGAGGGTTAATTCTTACCTTTTCATTCTAACATACAGCAGGATTCCAAACAGACAACAGGAACAAAACATACAAAGCAAGCATTAGGGACAGATACAGGTCTCATACTATTTTACAATAATTTAATCAAGACATAAACATCTAAGGGGATGAAAAGGGAAGAAAAAAAAAAAAAAAGAACTGCTATTAGAACCTCATCAGATTTAAGTACAAAGTAAGCCCCACTTATGGAGTGATCAGCACCCTATTAAAAAAAATAATAATAAATCGATGTAACTTCAAGAACAGTCTTTCTCTGAATCCTCCTTACTATTGCCTTCTAAAAGTCAGTGGAGAAAACAAAAATGTCCACTTTAGAATGCTGTAAGAAAGGGAGGAAAGGAGAGAGCTGACAAAGCTAGAGACTTCCATTACCGAAGTCAACAGCCTAAAATGAACAGTGGGGGACCCTGTATTTGGTAAAAGTTAATGTCAAAGTTCAGTCTGCACTTTTCACCTTTAAAAAAAAATGAGATCACCTGCCTAAAAATAATAAACCACACAAACACATTCCTGTTTATATTCTGACTGCAGGTTACATTTTCTGACTTTAATGTGAAAACAGCAGATAAAGCACATGAGAAATTGGTGTGTCTGCTAACAATGAGTGAGGATTTCTATTATAAAAGGTAAAAAACACTGAATTATTGCTAGTTCTTAATATGCCTAAATCTGGCTTCCAACCCTAAACACAGTGGCTCTGGTTAAATCCTTTATTCAGCTTCATAGCTTCCTTTCAAAAGAAAATTTATAAGTGAGAACATCATGTACTTTTCAGAAAAATCATTTTCAGGAAAGACTTAGCATGTCAAATGGCACCTACCTTTCTGAAATGTGCAAGCATGTCTGGGCTTCGCTCACACATTTCTGTGAGGAGGACTACAGATGTGTGAAGGACACCTGAAAGAAACAAGCAAATGAAAACTAAAAATGAGGCTGCATGTATTAGTCAACTTTGTAGAACAGGAATTTGAGATCTGAAGGTCACTTTCAAAAGGATAGTTGCTACTTTTGTTTTTTAATCTCCCGAAGAATCTACTAAGCATTAAGGTGAATACAAAGGAGGTATTTAATAGATGCTTAATGGTTAAGTCAGTCAAATTAGAATATTTTAAACAATTACCTGACCAAAATAATTGCTTTCTAAAATATGACAACCAGTCCAGCCAGCCAGCGTGGCTCAGGGGTTGAGAGTTGACCTATGAACCAGAGGGTCACGGTTCAATTACAGTCGGGGCACATACCCAGGTTGAGGGCTCGATCCCCAGTGTAGGGCATACAGGAGGCAGCTGATCAATGATTTTTCTCTCATCATTGATGCTTCTCTCTTTCCCCCCCTCACCCTTCCTCCCTGAAATCAATAAAGATATATTTTAAAAATGAAAAAAAGACAACCAGTACAAGCGTCTCTCCATCTGAGAATATACATAAAGTCATGCTCACAGTCAAAATAAGCTGGGTATCACCTGCTCCATACTTAATATGCTCTTGGCTGAGTTCTGATAGACAATTCAAGAAGCAAACATCTTAATAGCTTCCACTAACAAGTTCCCTAAACATTCGTTCAAGTATTTTTTTGAGCCTTCTAGTTTTAGGATGGAATTAGTCAAATTAAATACACCCTACCATTTTTTTTTCTCTTTGCATTTAGGACAAACATTTTCTTTATTCAAAACTTGCTTCACTAACTTCAAAATAACAATAAAATGTTTGAGAAAGAATAGTTATATATTAATTCCTCTTAACTTTTATATAAACATATCTAGTATGCATTTCAAATTCCTGTTACAAGTAACCTAAAAGAATATTCACAAATCTTATACTCTTACCACAAAACAATAAAGAAATAATTTTTTCTCTAATATAAAGTAGCCAGGAAATCAAAGAACTTTACACATGAAAATCGAGGATAGCATCATTTGTATATTACAATGAATATTAGTAACTGAATAAGTACTTTTAGTATAATAAAAGAGGACCAGAAATGAAAAACAAATTTGCTATGAAGAAGTTAATCTTTAATTGTAAAACTAGGAAATGAGAGTGGAAGAGAGAGTGGACTGATCAGACCCTCCTGGAAATGTGTCCAGCACAGCAGAAAGGCAACTCGACTGCACTGAGACAGAAGGCTGACACTGCCCAAAGCTTTTTCTCTTTCCCCTCTCCTTCAGTACTTTACCAAATGCACCCAAATACATTACCATGGTTTTTTTCATTCAATAAGTTTTTTGTTGCTGGTAAAAACATCTCCATAAGTTCAGGAACCTTCCTGATGACATGAACAGCACACAGTGCTGCCTATAAAAAAAATTAAGAAGACAAAAGATTTATTTCAATTAGTACAGGGCAACTAATCGTATAAAGAACAACAAGAAAAAGCCCTTATCAACTAGTTCACCTACTACAATAGAAAAATAAAGAAGAAAAAAGATATCTGATTTATTAACAGGTAAGGGCTTTCTAATTTATATGTACCATTGCATCAATGAGAACGTCTAGCTCACCTGTCCCTCTATTCATATATTGCAAAATAAGTAGATAAAATTTTTCTAAACTAGACCATGGTTAACATGAATTTACCAAGCAAGTTAAACATAACTTATGTGACCTTTCAAAGTAAAAAATAAAGTCTTCCATCTATGATAATCATTCCTGAGTAAGATGACCAAACAAGGACTTTATAAAAACATCATGCAACTGAAAGATACATACTGCAGATGCTTTAAATCTGCTGTTACTTCTCATAATACCTGGATCTTACTCAATTCTCTCTCTGCTGACTGACATCAAGAAAATCATTTGAAAGACATTTAGCTAATCTCTCCCGCAGAAAAGACTGTCATAACTTGTTTACTGGAATGAAAGGTACTTTCAGAGACTGATATTGGTTACCCCACAAACTAACCATATTTGTTGAAGTAGAATACTATAGAAGTTTAGACACATGAACAAGAAAAGGTTTTTAACTAATTCTTCCCATGAGATAGAAGATTTCCCCCCTAATTTACACTATTTAATAAGGAAATAATATACTTTCTGAACAAGAGCAGCCCACACATTCTTTAAGAGAAAAGACTGTATTTGGTTTGCACACATCATTAACAGTGTTTGATCCTGGAAAACAGATCAACACCTCTGCCTCACACCGTTAATACAGAAAGGCACAGTAGTGTGTCTTCACTTCATGGAGTTCTACATTTTATAACCTTTATTAAGGTTTTAGGGTTCGAACACAAAAAGTAACAATAAAATGTTTCCAACAATAAATAAAAGCAGAGAATAAGATCATTGTCATGCATTACTACTCCATTTAGACATATCAACTTTAGAAAGTGTGTTCTTTATCATTCCCTAATAATTATCTAGGTCCCAATGGAAGTGCACTTCCCACAGATTTAAAAGCAGTAGGACAAAGGCTAATTATTAGGATGGAAGTAAATTTATAAATATTGATTCATTATCACTTTAATACTGTTTAGAATCAGGTAATTTAGGAAGCAAATATGCCATCTAGGATATCCAGTTATGGTTGATTTATAAATAAGTTCCCTGAAAAAGAGGAATTAAAAAAATTAAAGTGTTCACAATCACTTATCAACTGGAGAGTTAATTAGTAACAAAAAAAAACCCTCCAGCTGAAACCGGTTTGGCTCAGTGGATAGAGCGTCGGCCTGCAGACTGAAAGGTCCCAGGTTCAATTCCGGTCAAGGGCATCTACCTTGGTTGCAGGCACATCCCCAATGAGGGGTGTGCAAGAGGCAGCTGATCGATGATTCTCTCTCATCGATGTTTCTACCTCTCTATCACTCTTTCTCTCTGTAAAAAGTAAAATATATTTTTAAAAACCCTCCAAAATCAGTATAAAAATAGATTTTGATTTATAAATACCTGATTCATATATAATCATATCTACTGCACAAAGACATGTTGTATATTAACATCAGAGGTTTCAAAATGAATAATTTGCTTTCTCATTTCCATCATACTCCCTAACACTAACACAGACATTTGGTTTTACTAACAGTTACCTTTTTTCTTAAGTAAGAGTTGGAGGTCTTCAGGAGTTTCTCTACCTCTCCTGCAAGATCTCTGCACATTTCTGAAGAGCCCATGCAGCCAAGGGTACACAGTGCTAGCCCCTGTACATACTGCGTGCTATGATTAAGATCACTGCAAAAGAAAGAAAAAAGTAGAAATGAATGCGTTGTGTCTGGTGCTCCCCATGAAGAAGCTTCACAAGAAAAGGTTTTAACTAATTAAGACAGGGCAACCAATCTCATGGCCGATGTGGCTCAGTGATTAGAACCTCGGCCCTCACACCAAAGGGTTTCTGGTTCCAGTTCCAGTCCAGGGCACATACCTGGGTTGCATGTTCGCTTCCTGCCCCCTGGTGGATGTATGCGGGAGGCAACCAATCAATGTGTGATGTCTCTCTCACATCCATGTTTCTCTCTCTCTTCCCCTCCCTCCCTTCTACTCTCTCTGAAAAAGCAAAAGAAAAATATCCTCAGGTGAGAATTAACAAAAAGCAGCTTCACAATCTACCAGTAAAGAGGTAGCTCTGCATAATTCATGATTAAAAATATCAAACTTTATTGATAGGTTTCAGATTCTACATTATAATTAACCCTTAAGAAACTACCACTTGTGTAGTTTTGGTATAGTATTAAAGACTATCCATAGTTATTTGAAAGATTATTAACATCATCTTCCTTTTTCTAACTACATTACCTATAAAAGGCTGAATCTTCATATATTTCAATTAAAACATATCACAAGAACCCTAGCCAGTTTGGCTCAGTGGATAAAGCATCGACCCACCAACTGAAGGATTGCAGGTTTAATTCCAGTTAAGGGAATATACCTGGGTTGTAGGTTTGATCCCCAGCCCCAATTGGGGCACATGCTGGAGGCAACCAATCAATGTGCCTCTACCATTGATGTTTCTCTCCGTCTCTCCCCTTCCCTCCCCCTCTCTAAAAATCAATGGAAAAAATATTCTCAGATGAGAATTAACGAAAACAAAAAACATACAAGAAACTGAAAACAGGAGCATCTATTAGGCCAGATACTACAGAGATTTTTTAAAATGTAAAACAGCCGGGACCGGTTTGGCTCAGTGGATAGAGCGTCGGCCTGCGGACTGAAAGGTCCCGGGTTCGATTCCGGTCAAGGGCATGTACCTTGATTGCGGGCACATCCCCAGTAGGGGGTGTGCAAGAGGCAGCTGGTCGATGTTTCTCTTTCATCGACGTTTCTAACTCTCTGTTCCTCTCAATTCCTCTCTGTGTAAAATCAATAAAATATATTTTTTTAAATGTAAAATAATGCCATTCTTCTCACTGAATTGTTCTTGTTATGAAAAAATATTTCTTTTCATTTAAAAATGTTATTTAACACATAACGGGTTCATAATGGCTCATTTTAAATAAACTATTGTAATAAATAGTTTCAGTCTTTACTGAAGACCAAAGGAAGGAAAAGAAGGCCAGGCTGCTCTCTTCACCAATTTGAATACTTAAAGTTAAAATTACTGGTGAAATGAAGTTTACTAACCATGGCTTTACCATCTAGGCTTCCAGTTGCTAAGAATATCTAATTGACTTTTCATTCATTTTATAATAATTAATTTGCATAATGCAAGCTCTTAAAATATATCCAATTTTAAGGATTTAATGTCATATGAGTTTTCTAGGCCAATGAACAATGGGGTAAACATGCATTATGGAACATAAAAACTGCTGATACACTACGATGTCCTACAACACAAACAAAGAGGGAGGGAAAAGCACACAGAAAAGCAACCAGAAAAATCCCATTCATTATCAGGTTAAAAAAATAAACAAATGATCCAAAGTCCTTAATAAGAGCTTAGACTGCAAGTGCCATATCAATTTCTAACTATTAATAACTCTCCCTAAATTCACTTGGCATTTGGCTGGATCTCATTAAAATTAAACACAAAGATTTCTTTTTTGCCTATGTGCCTCATTCTTCAATTTTTACCAAGCTATACCTGAGTTTGGTATTAACTCTCTAATATGAACTTGCTGCAAGGCAGAACTGCCAAATTATCAGCATGTGATTGAAGGCTTGGGTAATAAGGGCAACAGAGCATGAAAGAACAAAAATTTAAGAAACTCTCAATGGCCTGAACAGAGTAAATGTATAAAAGAGTCATGCTGAAATACTAGAATGTAATCTCCATGATACCAAGAAACTGTTCCATTTCTTAAATTCTCCATCCCCACAGCTTACAACAGCTCCTCGCATGCAACAGGTATGCAATAAATACTGGTTGAATAAATGAATCAACTTAGTATTTTCATTAATATTTATTTCAAGACGAAAAAACAAGATTCTACCAAAATTAAGTTCACAGACTCAATATATTTACATGATACATGCAATATCTAGAATCAAATCATTAATTCTTATTTTGGAATTTCTCATTGTCCATTGAGAAATTGGTTTTTAATACATTTTTATTAATTTCAGAGAGGAATGGAGAGGGAGAGAGAGAAACATCAATGATGAGAGAGAATCATTAATCGGTTGCCTCCTGCATGCCCTACACTGGGGATCGAGCCCCTAAACCTGGGCTTGTGCCCTGACTGGGAATCGAACCATGACCTCATAGGTCGACGCTCAACCACTGAGCTATGCCAGCTAGATATCCATTGGGAAATTTTAAAGTAGAACATTATTTTTCACAGAAAATTATAAGAGTTCAGTATTCATAAATTTGATCACCTGTATCCCCCAATTCTATTTTATGTCAAATATACAAATACTGCAATATAATAGAAATCTAAAAAAGGAGATTAAACATATTAAAACAATCTAAAAAGTTCTTTTAACCAACAGCCCATCAGAACTTCCATGGTTTCTAACAGAAATTTGTTATAAGAGAAATGCTGGAAAGAACTGCTAAATTCCCTGCTTGGGTCCTCTAATTTCTCCATAATGGCAAACATTCCTCAGTTTGTAACTGATATAACTGGACTAGTAAATCAGTAAAGCACCCATTTAAAAAAAATGACTTATACACAAATATTCATAGGGCTACATATAATTCCACACAATGGATATCTTGGATTAGACCACAGACAAGATTTCTATTTTTAAGTAATGTTTATTTAGAATATATACTGATAATTCTTTAATAAATGTAACATGTTCATTATTCATATTATTCCAAGTCCTAGAAATATAAGATAAGAAAGCTCAGATTTACCAATGTCTTTTCCATTCTATGAGGGCCCAAATGTTATTTCATTGCTAAACTGTGCTCTTATACCTGAAGATGTATAGCAATACTTTTATTTAATTAAATTATCTCCTAAGGAAGTTTTTTTTTTTTGTTTTTTTATATATATATATATTTTATTTATCTTTCACAGATAGCAAGAGAGAGGGTCAGAGAGCCAGAAACATCAATGAGAGAGAATCATCGATCAGCCGCCTCCTGCACACCCCTCACTGGGGATGCGCCCACAACCAAGGTACATGCCCCGACCGGAATCGAACCCGGGACCCTTCAGTCCACAAACTGATGCTCTATCCACTGGGCCAAACCGGCCTCGGCCTCCTAAGGAAGTTTTAAGCCTTTGCTAAGTCTCTTTACATATAAGCTACAAAACCAAAGCAATTGAAATATATTCTAGAGGATAAATATAAAACCAGTAAATAGCCGAAGCCAGTTTGGCTCAGTGGTAGAAAGTCCGTCTGCGGACTGAATGGTCCCGGATTCGATTCCAGTCAAAGGCATGTACATTGGTTGCGTGCACATCCCCGGTAGGGGGTGTGCAAGAGGCAGCTGGTCGATGTTTCTTTCTCATTGACGTTTCTAACTATCTCTTTCCCTTCCTCTCTAAAAAAATCAATAAAATATATATATTTTTTAAAAAGCAATAAAAAAAAAAAACACCAAAACAGTAAATAGAAGATGTCAAGATTTACTGGTATATTATAGGAAAAACCTAAAATCACAAAGTAGTCCCTAGAAGGAAATGTTAAGACTTACTTCTTACTCATGAACACAGATGACAGTGTGCTGATTTTGAGGGGAAGAGAGTGGGGGTGGAAGAGAGTATAGGGGGGATAAATTGTAATGGGGAAAAATGAAAGAAAAAAAATCCTATATAATAAAAGCCCAGCAACTGAATGGTGGAACCAGAACCGGTCAACTAGTCACTATGACGTACACTGACCAGCTGGTGGTCAGTGCGCTCCCACAGTGGGAGAGCTACTTGGCTGACTGGAATGAGTGGCTGCACCTGCAGCGGGAGCAGCCACTTAGCTGACCAAGATGAGCAATGCTCCCACAGAGGCCAATCCCCGCAGGCCCTGCCCCCCACTAGTGCACAAATCCGTGCACCGGGCATCTAGTCTAGTATATATATATATAAAGAGACAATAAAGTATGACAAAGCAAAGTAAGATTTAATACCAAATAAATTAATCAATTCTATAACTTTAAAAAAAAACTTACTTTTTGATACAGTTGGTCATGAGAAGATGCACATCTTGTCTTTCATCTAATAATAGCATTGCCCCTAAGTAGCCAATGCGTTTGTCTGTGAATTTTTGAGAGGCAATAAGCTTGAGGCACTCCAACTGCAAATTGAAAAAAACAAAGAAATTAAGAAATTGCTGCCACAATCAGGAAATGTTTTTAACCCAGATTAAAGTAAATAGATATAACCAGTATCATCAAACCATCTAAATGACAAAGATTCAGGATCTTCGGGTAGCTTAATAGTAAACAAGTCTTAAAACAGATCATCTTGTCAAGGTTCTATGACAAGCTTACCTTAGTTCTACAGATTCATGCAAAAGTATTATAAGGTATTAACACATTTCAGACGAGGAGTTTTATTGCTGGCTTTACCCAATGGCCAGAAAAAGTGTCTATTGAACAAGTACAAAAACGTTTTACATAAATGTTCAAGGCACTCTTTAAAATCAAATACCCATTGCATTCTGAAGTTATTTATTATATGTTCTTACAAGCTACTATCTTTTTAAAATATGATACTTTGTAAAATACTGTGTAATGTGAAGCAAGAATTCTCTTGATCTGTTCACAATGTGTTTTAATCCCCAGGTTACTAAATGAGTACTTAACCCATTTAAAGTCTGATTCCTATTTTGAATATCAAAAAATTCAAAAACTAGAAATACATCAGAGTGCCAAAGACTGCTGCCCTGCACATCAGGAATGTACAACTGCAGAAAAGACAGAAAATAACTAAATTTAATATAATGTTGAAAGTGCTACAGTGCAGCCCTAGCTTGTTTGGCTCAGTGGATAGAACGTTGGCCTGTGGACTGAAAGGTCCCGGGTTCGATTTCTGTCAAGGGTACATGCCAGAGTTGTGGGCACTATCCCCAGTGAGGGACTTATAGGAAGCAACCGATTGATATGTTCTCACCACTGATGTTTTTCTCTCTCTCTTCCTCTCTGAAATCAATAAAAAAAAAATTTTTTTTTAAAGAAAGTGCTACATTAAGGGCTTAAGCCAAGACTGTGGGAGAAGTAAGGGTTTAAGAATCAAATATATTATAGAAGAAGGGAAAAAAGCCAGAGGAAAACTCAGTAGTGGATTAACCTAAAATTTTTATATGCTTTTTTTTCTTTATATAATTGTTAGAAGTACTCAGAGTTTAAGAGTCTTTGTTAGTGAAACAGTTTGTTACTACTTAGTTTTTCTTGAATGTTACAATCACTGTGCTGTATTTTATCATTCCATCTTAACATGGAAAAGGTCAAACATACTCCTCTAGAGGAGAAATTTTCAAAGGGTGTATACAGTTAAGACTCCCAAGAGTTTTTCAAACTATGCTCCCATTTAGAATCACCACATTCGCAAAGGAAGGGGCGCAAATGCAGACCCATGTACACAGGAATCTAAGATCCTGTGAGACTACTTCCTGCCTGAATTTGCCTATAAGTTCAAAAGTAAAATAGAGGAAAGTAAGAGTTCACAATAAAATTGTCTCGAGTTGTTTAAAAATTGTTTTCTTAATGTACCTGCATTAAAAAACACCTAAAGGTAACAGAAACTATCATGAGCAAGTCAAAGAAGAGGGAACCACCAGGATCAAAAGCAAAAATGTCTCCTGAGATCGACAAAAATTAGGTAAAAACCATTATCTCTCCCCTATACATTCAAATTTTTTTTTAAATTTCAGAAATAGAAAATGATGAAAAGTCATTTTTACGATGTCAGGAGAAAAATTACTGAAGTGAATGAGAAAAATCAGAAGCTAAAACATTATTAGAAAAATCTTAACTCTTTCAAACTGAAGGTTTTTAAATCTTGCCTTTAGTAAGACTAAATAAATATTTTAGAGGAGAAAGGAAATGTTCCTAGAATCAGGTAACACTGAAATTTTTATTGTATTTACTGAATCATGCTTCTGGCAAAAAAACAGGCATTACACAATAAATAATCCAAAAATATCTTATTAAGATAAACGAATGAGAAAGACATTAACATTACTTTGTACTTTTTTAAGACCAAGTTTTAAGTTAGTCACACTAAAAGTCACCAGTGACTGGTGAGTATAATTTGCTTTTGTGATATTTATTTTTTAAATTTACCTAAAAACTAAACAGCAAAAAGATAAACTAAAATTTAAAAGAGCCAATACTAAATTAATTCTTTTTTAATATTCTCAATGGTACAGTGATTTTGCTTTAAGAATAAGAATTTATTTTTTTAAAGGTGAAAATTTTAGGGGAAACATAAGATTATACAGCTGCAAATGGCACTTGAAATACATCCTCCAATGAAAGATTAACCCAGATCACACTTCACATTTAGGTGGAGGTAGCTAGCAACAGTGCTGAGGACGTACCATGTTTTATCAGGAATGTTATCAAAGTTTTCACATATTGAAAAAGAAAAAGGTTGGAGGGCAGTACAATGGGATGTGGAAGGGAGGATATCCAACAATCACTAAAACACAACTCAACCTTCTGCGTGAGCTACTCAAGAAAAATAGTAATCAAGTAAATGTATCACTCCTTAGGTAATAATCTCAAATTCATCCAGTAGTATTACTCCTCACTGAAGGCTACTTGAAATCCCAGGTGAAATACTGCTAACCCACAAATCTAGCAAATACTTTAAGATCCCAGTAAACAGCCCAGCTTTTATATTCACACCAGAAAATTTTTGCTTTTACCTGTGAGCAAAGTCAAAAGACAAATGACAAACTTGGAGAAAATATTAATTCACAGTCATAAAATCCTATGTAACAGGATCCTATAAATTGATTTTTTTAAAAGACCAACAACTCAAGCCAAAACCGGTTTGGCTGAGTAGAGAGAGCATCAGCCTGCAGACTGAAAGGTCCCAGTTCGATTCCGGTCAAGGGCATGTACCTCAGTTGTGGACACATCCCCAGTAGGGGGTGTGCAAGAGGCAGCTGATCCACGATTCTCTCTCATCGATGTTTCTAACTCTCTATCCCTCTCTCTTCCTCTCTATAAAAAATCAATAAAATATATTTTTTTTAAAAACCAACAACTCAATATAAAATGGACCAAAAATATGAACAATTCAAAGAAAACAAAAATAATTCAAACATGAAATGGTGTTCAATATCTTCATAAAACAAACGCAAACCCAACTAGAGTTTTACTAAAAGAAAAAAAAATTATTGAATTGTACACTTAATAAAAGTGATTATACGATATACAAAAATGCCTTAGTGGGCTGGCTCGCATAGCTCAGTTATTGAGCGTCAACCTATGAACCAGGAAATCACAGTTTGATTCCTAGTCAGGCCATTTGTGCAGGTTGAGAACTCAATCCCCAGTGTTAGGCATGCAGGAGGCAGCTAATCAATGATTCTCTCTCACCATTGATGTTTCTCTCTCTCTCTCCCCCTCTCCCTTCCTCTCTGAAATCAATAAAAAAAACATATATTTTTAAATGCCTTAGTGAAATTATTACAAAAAAAGAAATGCAAATCAAATCCATACTGAGATACTTTTAACCTACTGTATTAATAAACATAAAAAATTGTCACAATAGTGCAAGGGCATTAATGGCAGGAATATAAGCTGTCCCAAACTGTAATAAGAAAGATCTGGCCTATCTAAATACACATACCCTTTGACTCAACAACTGCACTTTTAGAAACATATACTACAATTCATTCACACATGTGTAAAATAATGGATATTATTCAACAGTACTATTATTTTAAATAGTAAGATTGGAAATAAATGTCCATTAATAAGGCATCCATTTAACAAACTATGATTCATACATATAAGCTAGATATACTATCACAAGCATGTCAAAACAACTGGGAAAAAAGAATGAGGAAGCTTCTTATATGTTCACTGGAGGCCAGGTGCACAAAATTCGTGCACAGGAGGAAGAGAAAAGGGAGGGAGTCTCTCAGCCCAGCCTGCATCCTATTGCAACCAGGGACCTAAACCAGCAGTTGACATCCTTCTCGCAATTCATAATGCTGCATGCACCAGTGATCATACTTTTTATACAGGTGAAAGGCACCTTGCTATTGTATGGGCAGCTACATTTTTTTGCCCTGATGATAACAAGTAGTACATAACATGATCCTTCTGAGGCAGTATAACGTTTTCCCCATCTTATGATGGGTGAGAAAACTGAAGCAGAGTGCACATCATAGCAACCAGTCTTCTGCTGTTTGTTAGATTTGCATATTAGAGTTTTATTATATAGGAAATGAGCTAATCTTCATAACATTAATAAAACAGGCAGGCCGAAACCGGTTTGGCTCAGTGGATAGAGCAACAGCCTGTGGACTGAAAGGTCCCAGGTTCGATTCTGGTCAAGGGCATGTACCTTGGTTGCGGGCACATCTCCAGTAGGGGGTGTGCTAGAGGCAGCTAATCGATGATTCTCTCTCATCGATGTTTCTAACTCCCTCCCTCCCCCCCCCTCTCTCTCTCTCTTCCTCTCTGTAAAAAATTCAATAAAATATATATTTTTAATTATTTTTAAAAAATAATTAAAAAATAAATAAAACAGTGCAAACAGTATGTTACAGTATGTATTTTAAATGGGAGGGGACGAGAACATATATATCCATTGTCTGAAGATGTATAAAATATCCGTGGAAGAGGAGCCAAGAAATGGATGCCAACAAATGCCTAGAAAGAGGGATACTAACCCTAGCTGGTGTTGCTAAATGGTAGAGCATCAGCTCTGTCAAGGGCATGTACTTGGCTTGCAGACACCATCCCAGGCCTGGTGGAGGCAGCCTGCCCCCCGCCTCTCTCTTCCCCATCTCTCCACCCACCCCCCATCCACTCTATCTATAATAAAAATCAATGGGAAAAAATATCCTCAGGTGAGGATTAACACAAAAAAAGAGAGAGAGAGAGAGAGAGAGGGAAACTAAGTGATTAGAAGAAAGTAGAAAGCAATTTTCATCACATATCCTTTTGTATCTTAAATTTTGCATCAGTGAACTATCAGTATCTATTCCAAAGAGAAATAAAATTGGACTAGGAGGGAAAAAATTTAAAACTGCAGTATAAAGTGAACTTATATCTAACTTATGGTTAGAAAAATTCATATTATAATTTAAAAGGGAAAATAAAACAACTT